TAGAGGCAGTATCTTTCTGCAATTTTTGATACCCACCTACTACATCACACGGTGTGTAGTAGAGCACAATACTAATTTTCACCGCCGTAAAAACCTCAATTATTATAACTGTAAATTAACGTCAAATTGGATCAAATATTATCCTGGTCATTAAGATTATCACAAGGTATAGACATAGTAAAAATGGTTAATAATACTGCTTGAATCAGATATGCCTATATCGTCTCTTACTTAAGCTGCTTCACTGCCCATTTTTATACCTTCTTTTTCCTTGGCACTACATCCACAGTGGGCCTAGGCCTACCTCCATGAACTTCTCCGTTCACTTCGGTTTTTCTAGATCTTACACATTCGGTAGGACTCCTTGGGCGGGTGATCAGCTCGTCGCAAGGCCTCTACCTGTACACAAACACAGAAAAACGCAGACACACAAACTAAACATCCATGCCCTGAGTGGGTTTCGAACCCACTATCCCGGTTTCCGAGCGAGCGAAGACAGTCTTTTTATACCTTAACATCAACAAACTCAAAATTGCATACATCGAAGGGAAAGAGGGAATGAATATCAATTTTGCATTTTCTAAGACTCGATAAATATCAGGAGGCGTCATCTTGTCAAGCATATACATTTTAAACACCACTGCCTAAAGGAAACGAAATTTTACCCATTTTCGAATACGTCCCCAATAGCAGTACGTTCCTTCAGACGGCAGCGTAGGCGGAAATAAGAGCGTTTAAACAGAATGTTCCACAAAATACTTACAGTACCTAATCCTTGTTTTTAAAACATGGCCTCTCTCCCGTTACCACTTATTTTCCGCCCAAGTGGGCCCGTCTCTGTCTAAACATTCTAAATTATCAAACACTGAAACACGACCGGCTACAGCTGAAACGCAGATAATCGGCTCCGTCACTAAAAACATCCACGTCCCAGTCACACTCTCCAGACCCAATCGTTTCAGTCCAGGAACGCGTTTCCATGGAAACGAAAATTCAAAGTTCGTTACTTTAATGTTCATGTGCATCATTCATCATTGTCTCAACATATTAACGCTGCATTATTACTGATGACCCTACCGTGTACCAACTGACTAATTTATTTATTTAATTTTTCATAGGTTCAGCAGAAATTTAGTTGACGTCTCAAAACAAAGCCGCAACTATTTATTGCTGAATACAATTTAGTATTTAACGGGTAATACCAGGCTGAAAACAAAATGGATATCCTTTTACGTTCGTGTATATTTTTAACCTACAAGCTTATGAAGTGTAGTTCAGTTATTGGAAAAGGCGAAATTATTCGTGTCTCTATACCGAAATTGTAGAAATCTGTTTACATTTTACCCTTCGGTAATTACTACCCTGCCAGACAATGTTAATTTATATACCTATTCTAATTTATTTTCATGTATTTATTTACATATTAACAATATTCATGTTGTAACATACCGTAATAACTTCTAAATATGTCATAATTTGTTTCTTTTATCCTTGGAAATGTATTTAAAACACAACACTGCTTAGCGTACATTTTCAATGACTTCTGTATTCACGAACAATGAAATAAATATTATTTTTATACCATCCATTTTTAATATTTCTTGTATAATGTCATTTTTGTACAGGGTCCTTGCTTTATATAGAAATGCCAGGCCAGTATTTTAAATCACGTAATGACCACTTCATTGCACATCCTTCCAAAGTCATTACTCACTGTCATCCAATCACTCGATGCTATATGATCTGAGTTACTGACAGCGTCATTAAATAAATGATAAATAACTAACCACACTGCACAGTGCGAGATGCCAGACGACAGTAGGACTAATCCATATAGTCAATGCCGACGAAAGCCCCCAACACCACGTGACTTCTACAGTTAGAATGGTTTCAAATGGCGTCCTTTTGAATTTGTAGAACAATTCTGAGCCATTGTGAGTAGCAATGCATATTAAACACCATTCTGTTTATTTATTTATGTGAATTGACAGATTAACTCGCTTATTGTTCTACCTAATGAATACATTATTCGGCTCAAAAATTGTACGGACTACGAATATAATTGGGACCATTAAAAACAGTTAATTAGATAAGCACTCATTCGGAACCGAATCAATAGAAACCGTCAGCAAACACCAGCAAATAATAATGTACAGTTAGTGCAAAGATATACAGAACACTGGGAGGCGTAAAAAACGTGATATCGGTAGAATGACTGAAGTAAAAAATGAACACTTAAATTTAAGCCCACCGGAATTAGATGATTACGACAGTACCTATGCACCAAATTACATGGTGTCACATTCCCGCAAACAGCAATATTCGCACTCACTGCTGTGATAACCGCAAATATCACACAATAATTAAATATTGGCGAACAGACACGATCTCTCCAATAGGCATTGATTTTAGACCCACAGCAGTTCGAATGAGTACGAATGAAACGCGTACCCATCGTCCCTGACAGGACCTCGCAGCTGGGTCTATTCTCCCGCTTGCAACGTGACAAAATTGTTACTTCTCGGTCCATATGTTTCCTCTGACATGAATGTAAACTATGTTACCGACCGAAACGTGTTCTCAAGGCCACCTGCGTTCAAGTGACCCACAAACACATGACCTTGAACTTGTGACGACAAACTGGTGACGCCTCCTTGGCTCCTTCCTACATTCCTGACTGGTTGGCAATTTAGGAAACTTGCAACTTCGATACCGTAATTAGGATACCTACCCATGGGTTTTGACGTCAGCTGTGATGACGAAGTCAGACATTCCGTCATAAATATTTGCTCATTGTAGTCACGACTGTATTTATGAAAAATGGCCAGTAAAGCTGAAGAAGCCGGGACATCAGTCAGAATAGTGACTAGGCTATGGGCTGGCTTCCAGGCAGGGCCAAGAGATTTTTCTTCATACTGTCCAAGCCATCTCTGGGGCCCATTCAGCCTCATACTCAACGAGTACACTAGGTTTTCCTCAGGGGATAAAAAGACCATGGCGCGAAGGTGACAACTCACTTCCATCTACTGCCGAGGTTAAAAAAGAGTGGAGTTATGCCTCAGCTCTCATACGCCTTCATGGCGTGATCTCTAATTACGCACAAAGTTCGATTTTGGGCAAGGGCAAAAACAAACGGGTTATGGAGATCCTGGGGCTATTTCTTTTTTCATTCTTCATTTATTTTCCAAATCGTTATCCAGTGATTATCCCATAATTCGGACCGCCTCTGCCGTCTAGTGGTCACAGTTCCTGGCTATACAGATCCAGAGGTTCCCGGGCTCGATTCCCGTCGCTACCAGATTTTCTGAGAAGTGATGGTTCTGGAATAAGGTCCACTCAGCCTCCTGAGGATAACTCAGGAGCTATTTCAAGCAAATAGCGGCTCAGGTATATGAAACAGAGATTAAGGGCCGTGGGGATCCGTTGCGCTGACCACGCAACAGCCCTCTATCCGCTAAAGTTGGCACTAACTTCGCCGAAAAGCGGCGGTCGCTTGGTCGGTATGGTTCGCTTGCGGACTACAGGCCAAGGAGTTATCCTTTAATTCGATATACAACTTCAGCTACTGAAAGCGTCGATAAATTAACGAAGAATTGCTCTGATTCCTGTTCGGGTCATATCAGACCTAACAGTCTGCATGGTTCTCTGAACACCGACGTAAAACGAAGTCTGGAATATAACCCTGAGACAAGCCACGGCAATTACGACAATTATTTCACATGCCATTTCCGGTCATCTTATCCCGTCTTACTCTACATCATACAGATCGACGTACTGCAGTTTTCGCGCGAGTTTAACAGATACATAATAGAAAAAAGTTAAGAAATCTTGATACTATAAGCCCAAATGATAATCAGTAATTTTAAGTCACTGAGGAGGATTGAGAAGGGGGTTTCCTGAATCATAACTAACCGTTTACTGAGGGAGTTATACAGAGCCCCGGATCTAGTAACAAACACTGAAAGGTGAACTCTGAAGTGATGTGCATACGTCACTAGAATCGATCAAAGTAGGGTGGCCAAGACAACTGTTATAAGTAAGCCAGAAGGTAGGGAAAAGTGGTAAGGTCCATACTGGGGTAGTTGGAAGATGTTGAGGATCGTTTACGAGAGCAGAATATGAAGAGATGGAGGTAAAAGGAAAATAACAGAAAAAAATGTGCACCTGTCGTAGAAGATGCGAAAGCTCCTGGGAGGATCTTAGGACTAAGGAGTAGGTAACGAATTATGTTAAGTCGCTAAGGAAACTGGAGTTTTTTTTTTGGAAGAAAAGTCCAACGTTTGGGAACAAACTAAGTTTGAAAATGAGGGCTAAACTATAATAATATTTTTCATGAGATGTGCAATATGAAGAAGGAATTGAAAGCTGCCGTTAATTTTGCGGAATGGAACCTTTAATGTCACAAAGATAGGTAGGTACATTCTAATTAACTGCATTAAATATTAAGAGAAATGTTATTACATAAGTAGTGTGATAAGCTATAGATAAATTAGTTTAAACCCTCTAAGCACTAATTTCTTTTAAATAACATATAAGAATTCAGTTCCTGTCTCACGGGGAACGTATTGCATTTATGTTATATAGAACAATTGGTTAATGTAGTATAGTGAAACAGTCTCTAAGGATTACATGAAACCATTGGGTACAATCAGTGGGTAAGAACCTGAGTCTTTGAATGTTAAGGCAAGTGATACATATAGTAAACAAACTGAAACTAATTAAGGATTTTACAAAACCATTATTTATCTACTTGATATCTTTCAAGTTTATTTGTGTTTTATTTTCATAAATATTTGATATTTTATCACTTTATTAAAATTTGATTCTGCAATTGTTCTCTGAATTTTGTAGTTGGAATTTATTGATTATTACCAAATTATTAATTTTCTTTCTCATTAAGTTCGCAAACATCACACATTCGTTCATATACGCTCAAGTACGCATGCGTGATATACGTATGGGCTCTGCAGAAACCTAAGCCCGTGTTCTTTGGTACACAGTCGAAGCTGAACTGCGAGGTACTGTGGGACGAGCTTGCGTTTGAGGTGCGCTGGGCCGTGGCAGGAGACAGCGTGGTCATGCAGCTCGTCAGTAAACTCGGTAAGTTACCGCAGGGCAGCCAACTCAACTCGACGCTTCTAATTATTCTGTTTTCCAATACACATATTTATAGCTTTCATTTTCCGTTATGTCGCTTCCATGAAGAATAAACGTAAAACTAACCCCGATATCCAGGCCGCGCCATAGCTCAAGCGGTTAGTCGCTGGCTTCCCACCGCGGCGGCCCGGGTTCGTTCCCGGGTCAGGTTAAGTGGGATTTGTGGTGGACAAAGTGGCGCTGGGGCTGGTTTTCTCCGAGTACTTCGGTTTCCCCTGCCAATCTTCATTCCACCAAATTCTCCATTATCATAATCACCCGGGGCAGGCTACAATAGGCAAATCAGTGGCATCCGTGCCGAGTAAACCCAGTTGGACTCCACCCCCCACTAAGCGAATTAAAAAAAAAAAAAAGATGTTCACAGCCCCGAAAGATGTCACCAATAAACGACGTTTCAGTTGATATTACAGCGATGCCAATCACTATAATGGCATCGATCTTTACCGATAAGAAATATCTATAGACTGCTTTTGACATTATTATTATTATTATTATTATTATTATTATTATTATTATTATTATTATGCATATTCTATCAAGCTTTCTCTTCAGAACTTCACTTGTTAGTTCACAGGGTGCATATTTACTGGAATGATTTCAGAATATCCCTGAAGTTCTATAATGCATAACAGCGGATTCATGCAAGCGTTATATGCTGGAGCTGTAGCTATACGTGATAACTGTCAAATTATTTTTCAGTTGAATTTCCACGGGCATTCCACTATTATTTTCATGTGAATTAATAGATAGTCTGCAGAAGGAGAACACGAATGCCTGCGCGTTTATGTACAAATACATATTCCCAGAAAGAGAATACAAAGAAGGCATGAGGGGCGGTAGTATCCGTTCATCACATGTTTTACCTCCGATACCAATCAATGAATTACAATCAAGCTTGATACTACAGATCAGCACAGAAATTTGTCGGATGAATTAAAAATGTGTGCATAAGCCAGTTCTCATTACCTTATTATGTACAGCAGCTCTACTTGTGATGAATATTTAGGAAAATTTAAGGACAATCATTTCTCACCATATATCCCTCATATCTCTAGCACAATTAGCGCAATAATAATAATAATAATAATAATCTATTGGCGCTACAGTCCATGATGAACCTTGGCTTATATTTTACAGTTTATGAAACATATAGAGATAAACGGTAGAATTTCTTGAAGAAAGTCGTCTTCTGGATTTAGACGCCGTGTATTCTTCGTTTTGGCCGATGTTTCGGAGGAACGAATCGCCTCCATCTTCAGAGCATATAGTTATATAGCTACTGCTCTCTGCATTCCAAGCCATTCAACTGCTCTGAAGATGGAGGCGATACGTTCCTCCGAAACGTCGGCCAAAACGAAGAATACACAGCGTCTAAACCCAGAAGACGACTTTCTTCATAGTCATCGCCGTGAAAACCTCAAAACTTACATAGGTAGAACTTCTTGTTTGGGGGATCTGCTCGCCGCAAGTTCGCTAGCTACACAGGACAACACAAACACAGAATGAACGTAGACAAATATACACGCTTTGAGTGGGATTCGAACCCACGACACCAGCGTTTGGGCGGGCAAAAGCAGTTCACGCCTTGGACCGCGCGACCACTGTAATGCTAATGACATTTCCCATTATTTATGCCTGTTTTTCTTAAAATATATTTTCATATACTCCTGCTCAAATTTATATTCTTTACGGTTATGGCGCCGCACAGTAATTGGTTTATGAGTTAAACGGTTGCCAAGCAACGAAAAGTAGGCGGATATAGGTCGCTTATACACTAAAATCAATTATGGACACCTATCGGCCAGACCGAAGCAGAAATGTTTAACAGTGTACGAACTGTATAGGACGCATAAGAAACGGGATCATCTATGAAACGCGTTTAACAAATATGTGACTTCCACCGGAGCGTGTATTAATATTCTTTAAGGAACTCTGCAATGTAAAAAGCAAACCTGGTGGAAGGAAGGCAGACGACTGGGTGAATGCTCATCGCCCACGTCGTAAGAAACATGATGAAACCCGGGCGTTAAGTTCCTTTCTCTTTTTAACGGGCATTAGATAGGACCGTAACACCGTGAGAAATAGTTAAGACACACCACCTATACATATTATGTAACAATCACACATTTCCGGTAGTAACTGAAACACAGGGGTGCCAACCTAATATGAAGCTGACAGATCGCGTATAAGGTACGCACAGTAAACCGCTAACTGAAAGAGTACATATACGGCTGTCAGTTAAAATCAGTGCATTTATATTCAAATTTCGAGACTGGTGTTGGATTTTCATTCAGCTGTTTATCGAGGAGTCACTGAAGTGGATCATGAATAGTAATTATTATGTACGTGAAAGTTAAATTTGTCCCTGTGCTCAACTATGCCATGAAGGCGTATGGGGGAGTTTATATATAGATTCACATTTTCTAGACCTCGGCACTAGTTGGAGGTGAGTGGGTCAGCTTCAGGCCCCTGCCGCTTTACCCCCAGGGAAGGAACCCCCGGTACCCATTGGATAGGAGGCTGGGTGGACCCCAGAGCCGGTCTGGACGATTTGGAGAAGTGAAAATTCTTGACCCTACCGGGACACGAACTCGGACCCTTCAGTCGTCCTGCCCGTAGCCAGTCTCTATACCGACAGTGTACGTACTGGAAATAAAGATAATTCTTTAAAATACATGTACATCTTCAGCTGAAGGCCTTATTCGTTGCTTCAGACTGCGCAGTTTTATAGATTTCTCTTCCTAGCGAACCAAAATGAAACATAAGAATACATCATCTGTTCCAATTTAATGCGAGCTGAATATGAAAAACCCCCCGGTAATTTAAAAATTAGAGTGAAATTATAAAAAGCTAACAGGTCCGTCCAGTGTGACTGGTGAATATTTTTCTTATTTCAATTCTTTATGCCCTTACATGTTTCGGTCTTTAGAGACCATCATCAGAGGGACATCAATACTGTTTGGAAACCACTACTACAATATATGTTCTGGGAGTTAAAGTATACATATAATGTTAATAATATACGATTGGATATAAAATCTAAAGTTTTTACAACTACAGCGGCTGTCTTAATATATTACAATTTTTGTAATTGGTTTGTTAAGATTTTGTTAGAATTTATAAACCAATCAAATTCAAATTGAAATGAACTAATGTTATGACGCAAGCTGGGCAACACNCTTTTTCTTCAACCCTGAAGATGGGGGCGATACGTTCCTCCGAAACGTCGGTTAACACCACATATACACGGTGCCAAATCCCAGAAGACTGCATTCTTCAGAAACTAAATTGTCTGTATTGTTTACATTAAATTACTCTCCCCCCCCAGAAACAAACTAAACTCTACGAAGGCTTAGATGACACCCAGTCACTTTTGGGGAAATGATCTGCAGTGTGATCTTCATATTCCGGTAAACACTGCGCCCCCGGCAACTTGTGATAGCCCGTTACTTCCAGAGGAAGTTCACGATGAAGATAAGGGCACTGATTGTGCAAACGTAAACAAAATGCTCATGGTAACGAGCTTGAAAACCCTTTTCAAGAACCTCTTCATCACAGGGATAAGTGCAGATTACACTGCTGTCGGGTGCATGGCTTAATAACAAGAAATAAACAACCGTATCTCTCTGCTATTGGCCGTTCGATGATCGTTACCAGCAGCTGTACGCACGGCCTGCATCTGACAATCAGCTGCATGTTTCTTGACTGATCCTGTTATTTGACGATGCTATTTCAGGCACGTAACTCACGCAGTGTGTGATGCATATTAATTGCATATTTATGTGTGGCTTATTCACTGATGTTATGTATCGCCGGAATATACAAAACTATAGTTTTGCCTGTGGTTCTGTATAGGTGTGACACTTGGTCTCTGATATTAAGGGATGAACGTAGACTGAGGGTGTTTGAGAACAAGGTTCTGAGGAGAATATTTGGACTGAAGAGAGACGAAGTGACAGGAGGTTGGAGAAAACTGCGTAATGAGGAGCTTCATAACTTGTACGCTTCTCCAAAGAATGATCAAGTCAAGGAGGATGACGTGGGCAGGACATGTAGGAGGAATGGGAGAGAATAGGAATGGAGATAGAATATTGGTGGGAAAACCAGAAGGAAAGAGACAACTGGGAAAGCCAAAGCGTAGGTGGGTGGACAATATAAAAATGAATCGTAGAGAGATAGGATGGGATGGTATGGATTGAATTGATCTGGCTTAGGATAGGGACCAGTGGAGGGTCCTTGTGAACACGGTAATGAACCTTCGGGTTCAATCAAATTTTGGTAAATTCTTGAGTAGCTGCAGAATTGGCCGCTCCTCAAGAGCGCTCAGCTCCATGAGTAAGTAAGTTACTATCCCACTATGCGGAAGAGACTTAGGAATTTCACCAAATGTCTCTGTGAGTATATTTGTCCTTTGTGACAAGTATCGATCCTGAGACTTCCTGGACACAAAGCACGCGGTGTTAACCATTTGACCACAGTTTCGGTACATAATACTAAAATTAGAACTAACTCAGAGAGTAACAGTTTGAAGTTAGAAGTGTTTTGCTACTGGAGCAATCTTGTACTTGTATAGGAATCGCTGAAGTATGAAAGTATCCACACGAATTCACGCGACGGTGAAATAGATGCTTTGGTCTCTAAGCAGCCGTGACGCGGCGTGTGATAGACTGCGTTTCCTGAGTCATGAATCACATTTCTTTCGGATGAGCAAGCGTATACCTTCAAGAATATTAAACTGTCAAATGTCAAGCCAAAGAACTGACATTTAAATCCTGTCTTTAGAACACTCTTGCAGTCACCGGTTGTTTGATTCCTTTCTCTCATCAACGCAATTTCCTCCGTAGGTCAATCACCGACTTTCTCTTTAACTTGTCTATTGCCATTCCCAAAACATCATCAATTTTTGTCCGTTTTTCTTATAAAAAATTGACCTTATTCTGTGGCGAGTTCCATAATCTGCACTCTACACATAATACCGTGGGCACGCGGTAGTGTAGTTGGTTGATGCACTATGCTACAACACGGAAGGTCGCAGGTTCGATTCCCAATGAGGTAACTGCATTTTTTCAAGACCTACCATTGACTTCGTGAAAAAACGCGGTTGTTACCCATTTATTGCACTATCCCCACATTTCTGGGAGAGACGGTGAAAATTCGCAAAAATAATTGCCACTATAGTGAAATTAATATTCAAAGAATCGAGCCTGGATCATCCGATATCAAACAGAACATACTAACTACTCAGCCACGCTCGGAGGGAAGGATGGCGTTTAATTCGTTTTATGACAAGAAACTGCTAGAATATTTTCATTTTCTTTCTATATAGGGGGAGGGAAGGCATCTGAGTTAGGCACCATCTGTCTAATTCCCTGTGGAGGAGTAATTTGTCTGCTGTTACCTAATCGGCTCTATACAAACGGAGAGACGCGTATTATTTATATGCGCTGATACGGTCTCTCAATACTTTCATTAGCAGATCTCCCGAGAGACGCAGCCAGCTCTCAGCTCTCGTCACTTGCGCTGTCTCTTGCATCTATGTAACACTCGACTTGAATAAGAATGATTACAAACAATAAAACGCTTGCTGATGCCATCTAGTAACAAAGTTACGAGTTAATCACATTAAATTCTACGATGTCTAGTGACAGAAACAATAATCAAGTCGACGTTGTGTTCCACGTTTAGATTTTTACAATACAGTGAGTTTCTGTAGTTTGTGCTAAAAAAATTAGATTTCTATCGCTTTTCAGAAGAAAAATTGTATAGATTTATTAAAATATTAATTCTAAGTGTTACTGACTTTCTGCTATTCTAGACAAAAGAGAGAGAAATATACTATTCTGGAAAAAACATAAAAAGAAACTACAGTGCAGTCTCTCTCGTGACATTAAAAACATTTGCGCACGATAAATGCGACAGATGAGACATGTAGCATGCCTTGAGGTGAGAAATATACGGAACACTTTAGTCGGAAACCCCAATACTGCGGCATATTTGCTCCATGCACGGACTGGGAGCCAGAGAAACAGCAGTTGATAAGCATTACACGCACGCAACAATAGAACAACGGGGTTAGGCAACCCGTTTCTAAGTAACGGCTCGGTAAACACGCATCAAAAAGTAGAAGCTGTTTTCTATGTGGTCCTCGTCGCGGCCGTTGCTATGCAATGGAGATATTTATGGGTAGAATACAGGATAATATTAAAATGTATCTTGGAAAAGTACGTTGCGAATTTGTACATAAGATTTAGTTGACTCAGAAAAGAATCCAGCTGCTGATTTTAACATGGTAATGAACCTTCTGTTTCCGTAAGAGCTAAGGATTTTTTGACCATGTGAGAAACCACAAGCCCTAAAAAAATAAAAACCTCCTGATCATAGACTTAAAAAGAATTTGTCGTTTTGAGTGTGCGTGTAGGCGATAGCTTCATTCATTCCATGAGGAGAACCTTCAACTGACAGCATGCAAACAATATTAATATTTCTACATCTCGTTTTGAGCCATTGTGTTCCGGAAAACAATTGAAACATGTGTCGCGCTCGTGTCAGATGCATCCATAATAACAGTGACGTAACGTTCAAATGTTCATTTTGCCGCGCCGTGAAGTGCAAATGTTAGTGACCTCTCGACATATTATGACCTTAATGCAACTTTCTCCTCGCTAAGAGGATCCACTAAATTACAATGTATATTGTTCAGCAATTATCTGTTGCATACGGAAGTCAGCGAATCCTGCATGACGCCAGTGTTGCCAATCTCGATGTAAAAGACCCAAATGAGTATAAGAAAAAGAGACCCCCTAAAATATAATCGACGACCCCTTCCTTGCAAGCACTGTTCCTCATCATTCATAATTAAGTTGGCACACAGCGTGTCCATGGGCATCTCAGCCCACATGCCTACTACTTGTTATGATCGATTTATTTATTCGTGGATGACTTAATAAGATTCTCAACTGGTTATGCTGTAGAGAGAGACTGGAGACTCAAGGAGCTGAGCCCTTCTGGAGGAGCCGCCAATTCTGCAGCTACTCAAGAATTTCCCAGCATTTTATGGAACCCGAATGTTCATTACCGTGTTCACAAGTGCCCTCGACTGGTCCCTATCCTGAGCCAGATCAATTCAATCCATACCATCCCATGCTATCTCTCTACGATTCGTTTTTATATTGCCCACCCACCTACCTTTTGGCTTTCCCAGTGGTCTCTTTCCTTCTGGTTTTCCCACCAATATTCTATATGCGTTCCTATTCTCTCCCATTCGTGCTACATGCCCAGCCCACCTCATCCTCCCTGACTTGATCATTCTTTGGAGAAGAGTACAAGTTATGAACCTCCCCATTACACAGTTTTCTCCAACCTCCTGTCACTTCATCTCTGTTCGGTCCAAATATCCTCCTCAGCACCCTGTTCTCAAACACCGTCAGTCTATGTTCCTCCCTTAAGTTCTGGTAGGGTAATTATGAACGCTAACTGGACCAGTTAGTCTCAATGTACACGAAGAATCAGTCAATAAGAGCCGAGTTAACATTTTCACCCCTTACTAGGCATCCAGTTTCTGCGGCAGATGTGTAACACAGGTTGCCTGAAAAAAGAAAGGCTATTTAAAAAGCTACGCCATAATGACACCGTGGATTCGTGAGTGTTGTCGTTAGTTAGTGACGTAAACAAATACGTCAGCATTGGAGAGTTATTAGATTCTATTTTCAGCATATTTCCGGTATTGGTACGCCTATGGAAAATTCAGACACAGTCGGGACTTTTGTTCCGTGAGGTTGCCTGCAAGACGAATGACATACCATGACTCGTAGAGTAATCAGACTTTGAATAGCTGGACCTGACAATCACAAGTGTTCTGTTTCAGAGGATGGAGAGTACATGTCGTTTGGTTTGTCCGGTGATGACGCTCGCAGTAAGATGATCGGTGGTGATGTCGTTGTGGCGTGGGTGGACAAGACTACGCTTAAAGGATACGCTGATGACTACTTCCTGGATTCGAAGTCACAGTGCGCCGGCACCAGAGGCAGCTGCCCCGACGAAAGGCTCAGGGTAACCTGTTCTTTGTTACCCTCTTATATGTTATGAATCGGATAAATCGTTACGAAACACCTGCTACTTTTTAACCCATATAGCAGTCTATTTGGTATCAACGGGAATGAATTTTCCTGCCATCTACTGACAATTCGAACAAACTGCTTGTAAATCACCTCCAAAAAACTATACGCTAGAGTGATACATAAAGGATATACCCTCAACTGTTCGTGAAGCACCCCTTTCATGTGTTACAATTTCCGGAACTCGGGCGATACAATATCTTGGCAGTTATCTGATAAAATTTGTGCTGTGAAAAAAACTGCAGTATTGGAAATTGCAGATACTAACAAATAACTGCGGTAGAAGAACTCGAAATTTCAACACCGCTAATGCCCAAAGCCGACCATCTCACACGATCATGATTTACTTCGATCCAAGGCCGCGCCATAGCTCAAGCGGTTAGTCGCTGGCTTCCCACCACGGCGGCCCGGGTTCGATCAAGTTGGTTTCGTGGTGGACAAAGTGGCGCTGGGGCAGGTTTTCTCCGAGTACTTCGGTTTCCCCTGCCAATCTTCATTCCACACAATTGCTCCACAATCACCCTCACCTATCATCTGGGACTGGTACAATAGGCCAGAAATGGCTGCAGTACAAGAAATTTAGTCCCAACCTACTAGCAATAAAAAAAAAACATCCATCCACCTCCCGTCCTCAAAAACTATATCTGTAATATCTATATTAATGTTATCGCCCCATCTCCTTCTCAGTCTTCCTAATATACCCTTCCGCATCTAAATACTGCATATATTCCTTACGTCTGCCATCATCATGTGCCCAGGCCACATTAGCCTCCTTAATTTCAGCATCATAATAATAAGCTATCTGTATAAATCATGCAGTACCTCGTTATGTAAGATCCTAAGTTCCTCACTCACTTACTTTATCCTTTTTAAGTCTGAATATTTTCTTGGGCATTTTGTTTAAAAAGAAGTCACATTCTTCCTTCGAAGCAATTAAACTATATTCTTTTAATTTATAATCCTAATGGGTCATACGCATTGCTATAAACTTAATTACTTACATACTCACCCTTTGTTTCTACGTTCCTCTAAGAACCCTGGCTCCCAATCATGTCTATCATTTGCCTCTTGCTTCAATTTCTCTAGACCGCCTGTGTGGTCTAGCGATCAGAGTTCCGGGCTATAGATCCTGCGGTCCGGGTTCGATTCCCAAATTTTCTGAGAAGTAGTGAGTCTCGAACGGGGTCCGCTCAGCCTCGTGAGGAGCGCTGACCACGCGACACCCTCTATCCTCTAAAGTTGGCACTAACTTTGCCGACAAGCTGCGGTCGCTCGGTCGATATAGTTCGTTTGCGGACTGTAGACCACGGAGTTTGTTTTCCATTTCTCTACCTTTCCTTATTTGCCACCGGAATCGATCTTTAAGTTTCTTCCTTCGTATGATTTTGACTCACGACAAATCCTTCAACGTGGCGGACAAGGAGTTGTCAGGTCCTCCTCTCTGACCTGTGTATCATGGACGACCCTACCATGAGCGTATACTTCCGGAAGTGTAGCTTTGCAGATGATCAGGGTATGCAAACTTCCCCTCCATGTTAAGGTAGCAGCCCTGCAGGCACAGCTACAAACAACTGAAAGTGCATACACGTATATTTGCGTAAGCTTTCCAAAAAGTATTGCTTCATTTCCCCCCGGCAGTAGATAATCTAGGTAGCTGATACAGAGTCGTTATATAAACGAAGAAATAACCAAAGAACGTGTCAGATTTGTGTAATATTTGAGGTTCCCAAAGCGGTAACTATTGAGAATATCATATTCTGTGGTGTGGCACCGTACAGTCTAGTATAAGTTCACCAAACGTTCAGACAGAAGTATGCCTCCTTTTATTGGGCCAAACGGTAAACCGAGGAAGCAAGCAAAGAGAATCAGCATGTCACCCACTCTACTTGCTGCTTTGCTTTCGTGCTTCCTTGGCTTACTCTTTGACCCAGAAGATAAGGCAGTAGGTTTCTCTGTGGCATCATATCGCAGAAGTCTCTATTCTTCATGAGAGGTTTACTGGGGTTGGAATAAGGTTCATTTCGGCTCGATTCCCAGCCATGTGTTTTCATGTTGACAGGAGAACACGGGAAACGTGCGGTTGCTGAACGCCGCAATGGTGAACGGCTATTCCATCGTGACGTACCAGCGACCACTGAAGGCACAGGACGAGCTGGATATCGATATTGTTCCGAACAGCACCCAGCCCATCATCTGGGCGATTGGGCCTCTCAATTCCAGGAATGAAGTTTCTTACCACAGCCTCGCGAATAAGAGTACGTTAACAGATTATCCTTCTCTCCTTTACAGAGTTCGACTTCAATATCCTCCTGAATATAATGATTGCCTCAGTTCTTAAACGTCGAATTCAATAACATAGAATACATTTTTACACATCAGTTGTAAGTAATTAATTGAACTGTACAGGAAAACAAATAATTTTAATAAATTGCGACTTTTTTGGTGAAGCTTCTAGCAGAATACCTCAACACAATTCACTGTACAAGCTCATGGATATTCAATAAATTTCTTCGGCAGATACGAAGAGCGCGCATATCTACGGTAATGAATCCTTTGGTAACATAAACACTTAACATAACAATTCACCGCTTTGTATCATCCCGAGCTTCTTACCATTCGAACATCTGCTTCAATGACGTTCCTTTTAACATCTTCCATCTCATTCTGGAGGTTACAAGTGGCCCGCTTACCAAGATGTTTTCTCCACGAAATTTCTGTACACATTTCTTGCTTCCCTTATCCAATTTACATGCATATCGCATGGTAACTATTTTATCGACCACGTGTCAAATATGATTCTACGCATGGTAATCACAAATGCATTGACACCGAAATATTCTCAATTTTTCTTCGTCTCTCCTGAGTCCAAATATTTTATTTTCAGATGCTTGCAAGTTATGTCCCTTTCCTCAAATTAAACAAAGGTGAAAACATCTGGGCCGAGCACGGTGTCCGAGCGGTCTAGGGCATGAATTGTCTTCGCTCGCTCGAACGCTTGGATCGTGGGTTCAAATTCCACTTAACGCACAGATGTCACTGTGTCTCCTGTGTCTAGGTAGCAGCTCTGAATGGGCTGATCACCCGTCCAGGGAGTTCTACGGTCTCTGTAAAAAAGATTACGAAACCGAAGAGTACGCCAGGGCCCAACAAAGGGCTGTAAAGCCATTGATGATTGAATGAAAAGCTTCTGGGTGAAGGCATTCACATTAACAACCCATAAGATCCCTAATCTATTTTTAATGATGGACGGATTATAATTTACAGGAGATGTGCTACTGAATTTTGGACGAGCACCCAAATGGAACTGCCCCATCCCTGAGACTGACTCTACCCCCGCTGCTGCCGCGGCACGTCCGTCATCCGAGCATCAGGCGCCTGAACAGCAACTGCGTTCATCCGCAGAGCCCACAGCCCGGAACAGGACCCGCACCACATACAGCGCACAGGCCACACCAGCCCCGGCCCCCAAGACCGATGCGTGGGAAATACCAGCCATCCAGTGCTATGAGCCGGAGGATGGCATCTTCTATGCGCAAATGGGCCCCACGGGGGGCAAGCACGGGTACCCGGCCATCACAGGTTCGTGACACATACGGCTGAACTTCACTCCGTTTCTCATAAGGAAAGGGAGGAACGTTATAGTACCGATATTCAAAAGGCCGACTGACTGAGTGAAGGATTCACTCACTGACAAACCGAACTACTGCTGACTTACTGGACGTCCGACTCACCCACTGACAGACCGAATGACACTGACCGACTCACAGACTGACGACACTACCGACACCTAACCACGCCAACTACTGACAGACGGACCGAATCTCGGATTTACTGACTTACCAATGGACTAACCGAAAACCTGATGATTTGACTTTTCGACTAAGGGACGAAGAAGCCACGTCATTATCATCATTTATAAAGCATTCTTACTGTCACGCGATTTAACCTGAACTGGAGGGATGGAATAACAGAAAACTAAATAACAATTGCATCTCTTGGCCGCGAATCTGACCACATATCTCGGTAACTCTGACCAAACGGTCTGCAACTGAGTGCAGTAAATTTGCCTGCGTTCACTACTACTACTACTACAGGGCTGAGCACAATTTCACTCCTGTTTCCACGCATTGTAAACCATTTTTACATGCATATAGGCACATCTGAGTACATAAAAAGCATCAGTATACGTACACCCACGTAGCAGTACGTTGGTGTACCGCGGCACATCGGTTGCGAACCTCTGCATAATCTTTTTCGAAGTAGACCTTGTCAGCATCTATTCTGCACACTCCTGCATTCTGTGGGCAATTCTACAGAACTACTTACACGATACGCCTACACTTGCAGGTCACGTGGGTTGGGGTATCTCCTGGTACATTAACGGTCTTTTGATACCCGAGATCAACGTAGTACGCGGGAAGACCTACACTTTCGTGGTCGAGGGAGGACTCGACCCTGAGACCCCTGCAAGATACCATCCATTCTACATTACAGACGACCCCGTAGGAGGCTACGAACACAAGACTCCGGAAGAAAGAACGGTAAGTTTCGTTTTCAGGCGGAGAAAGAAGCTGCATGTTGTCTACTGTCCGCGATTCAGCTGATGTATGTTTTTTTGGAACGTGGCTGTCCTCTTCAGATGGCCGATTTTCACTGATCAGTATGTTTATTATGTCACGGTTGAGATTAAACCCGGAACCTTTCGAATGTCTCACTAAACTTTTATGCTAGGTACTAGAACACCAGGTTCCAGATCAACCGTTCCCACTAATTAAACTAATCCAATGGAACTGTGTACTAAAAGAAGCTAGTCCAAACAAACTTCAGCATTGTGTGGAGCCCGAAGAATTTTTACAAAACTTCACTTAAGTATAATATTAAAACAAGTCTTAACGTGGCCTAATCCATTGTCAATGTGTGACGGTCAGAATAAGACACAAAGCTGGATTCTAGTGACAATAATGGCAACTTTCTGTTTCACAAAAAAAAAAGACGAAATTTATTGGCCAGGTGAATAACTACCGAGGCACTGTGCTACAAGCCGGAAGGTCGCGTGTTCGATTCCCGATGAGGTCACTGGATTTTTCAATTTACCTAATCGTTCCAGCCGAACTATGGACCTGGGGTCGATTCAGTCTGTAACAGAAATTAGTACCAGGAATCTTCCTAGGGGTAAGGACAGCCGGCTGACAACCTCACCGCCATCTGTGAGCCGACTGTCTAGAAAATATGGCAGCCTTTACGGCCTGTTAGAGGGACAGCTTTACCTATTAGGTGAATAACCAACAATGTCGAAGGAAGATCCTATACCTTGGAGTTATTTAGTTAGCTTGTTTGTTTGTTTGTTTGTTTGTTTGATAATCAACTAGTTCATCAGTTGGTTCATTACTTAATAAGATTATCGTAAATTTGTCTAACTCTGAATTGTTTCAGAAGGTCGGGAAAACAGCCCTGAGTTTCAACATACATACATACATACATACCTATACAACAAAATCATATCATTTAGAAGACAAAAATTATACAGTACATACATTCGTCACAGGAGTTTAGTACACTATTTATTAGACGTAACTGTGAACGGAGAAGTTCCTGGAGGTAGCCCTAGGGCCACTGGGGCTGTAGTGCCAAGGAAAAAAATTTGACCTAACTGATCTTTCTAATAAATTACTCCTTCAACTTGCACATGTGCTGGAAATTTTACATATAGTACTTTTTTTGTTAGAAACACAGCCCTCCCGAAGTTGGCCCTGCTTCCGTTATCATCTGAAAAATATTAAACCTCCAACGGTCCATCAGATGGAGCTAATCTCTTTCGCGGGATTACTTCCAGCTAACGAACCAAACAATCTGTGTTATATTTCTACCTGATGAAGGAAGCAGAGACAACTTCAAAACTGTTGCCTTCTTAACCAAAAACGAGACGATGGAAAATGTCCAACAACTGTACTTCCCTTGAATAACACACCATCATCACAGACCTCTTTGTCAACTGACTCGTATGTACACGTGACATTGGTTTTGCAGGCTGTTCGGATTTTTGCCGGAGCGCGGCAGAATCGTCGTGGTGACGTGTACCCCACCGGGACTGGAAGGCTCTGCAACTGGAAATCTGACCCCAATCAGCCTCCTGCAGACGAATTCGCATCCTTTGGTGCCTACCAGAGAACCTTGACGCTGGAATGTGACCAGGGAGAGCCGGGAATCGTGCAGTGGACGCCAGATAAGAACACACCAGACACTGTGTACTACCAGGTGCGACAACTTGCTTCGAAAGCTGTACTTCTGATATGACTCGCGGAGCATACAAAATTGCACTTTGGAAAGAAACTCTAATGCTGAACGGCTCAGTCGGGATGAAAGTTATGTAGAACATGGCTCAGTACGCTTACATGAGGATTTCAGTTCGTTTGATTCGTTATATGGGAAATGTTTTCAGTTGAGTGTTAAAACACGGATCCCTCATGTACTACACTGTTTGGTTAAAACAAATTTCCTCAGAAACTGCCATAATTTTCGTCACGCGCAAGAATAAAATCCCTCTTAACACAGTTTATTTCATCGGGGTTGTCATTTTATTGTAGCCGAAGTACTATAGTTGCACTTGTATTACAGCAAAAAAAAAAAAAAAAGTAAGTAAAGCTATCCCTGTACCAGGCCGTGGAGGCGTATAGGGTTGTGAGATATCGAGGTTCCCACATTTTCTAGACAATCTGCTCATCGATGGCGGTAAGGTTGTCAGCCCTACGTGCCGGCCGCCCTTTACCCCCAAGGATATTCCAGGTACTCATTTCTGTTAGAGGTTGAGTCGACCCCAGGGCCATAGTGCGGCTGGGAGGATTAGGCCAATTGAAAAGAATACAATGATCTCATCGGAACTTGAACCCGCGACCTTCCGGCTTGTAGTATAGTGCCTCAATCAACTACAGCGCCTTCTAAACTAAAACTAAACTCCGTGACTTAAGACCGCAAGCGAACTATACCGATTGAGCGACCGCCGCTTGTCGGCGTAGAGCCAACTTTGGCAGATAGAGTGTGTCGTGTGATCAGCGCAACGAATCCCCACAGCTCCTCAATTATCCTCAAGAGGCTGAGTGGACCCCGTTCCAGACCCACTACATCTCAGAAAATCTGGTAGCGATGGGAATCGAACCCGGACCTCTGGATCTGTAGCCAGAAACTCTGACCAACAGACCAAAGAGACGGTCTTACAGAGCCTTCTATTATACTCGAATACATTAGTATATACTGGGGCCGTCTCGGCGATAGACCTCCTCCAAATCCTCGTCGAGCTGTTGCGTCCCTCCTCCCACACTGTAACACCCATGTTACTGGCAACAGCCCTCGCTCCAGACAAACACCTGGGGCTTAATGAAAAAGGATACAAGGGATCAGAGGGGAATACAACAGTCTGCAGAAAGGAAGTAACCTTGAGAGTCGCCACGGCTGCAGATCGCGCATCGAGTTACGCGTGTCCACTCCCGTTCCTTTTCTTCGAACGGAGTTGCAAACATGGACGAGCCCACATGGTCAAGCGATGTGCAGAGAGGTGAAGCAGAGCAAGTAGTGTGTGAACCCCATCATATTACTGCTTGTCTTCGTGTTCTCCCCTCCTGCGCCACCATACAACATCACTTTAAGGGTCCTCCGTATAATAACAGATACACTTGGGGCTTGTACCAGACAGTTGTATGCATATGCCTGGGTTAGATGTTCTACTTTTACGACACGGACAGTGCATCGAACAATTCCGCTGAAGCTGTAACACCTCAATTATATTTTGGCGGTAACAATCTATACTGACTGAGGTTTCTCATAATTTGCTGTAGTTAAATGCCGGTATACTGTCTACAATTGGGCCACGACCACTTCCTACTCCATCCCTTCCATTTCAACAATCATCATCCTACCATTCGACGCTACATAGTCTGATATACTAACAGCGGCTTTAAGTAGATAAATGTAAACAAGAGAAGGGAATGTCTTTAAAACACCGTCCTTGAGAAACACTTGATCACACGCACATTGGCTTCTAAAATACAGTCTGTTACTACACAAATTCTGAAGTTTATAGTGTCGCAAAAAATCACACGTTACCGGAAGTCATGTAATAATTAGCACCACTACTTCGTAATCGGGGGCACGCGATAACGTAGTTGCTTGAGGCACAATGATACAAGCCAGAAGGTCGCGGGATCGAATTCCGATAAGATCATTAGAGTTTTCAATTGACCTAATCCTTCCAGCCGCACTTTGGTCCTGGGGTTGACTTTGCCTCTAACAGAAATGAGTACCAGGAATCTTCCTGGGGGTAAAGAGCGGCCAGCGCTTAAGTCTGACAACCTCACCGTCATCTGTGAGCCGATTGTCTAGAAGATGTGGGAGCCTCGACCTCTCACACCCCTATGGGCCTCCACGGCCTGATACAGGGGCAGCTTCACCAAGCCTTTACTTCGTAATCGGCAAGTCCCGGGTTAGAATCTCAACTGTTATATGCCATGGGGATCTGAGGTTCTCTCGGCAGTAAACATGAAGATATGGCCGCGCCATAGCTCAAGCGGTTAGTCGCTGGCTTCCCATCGCGGCGGCCCGGGTTCGATCCCGGGTCTGGTCAAGTGGGATTTGTGGTGTACAAAGTGGCGCTGGGGCAGGTTTTCTCCGAGTACTTCGGTTTCCCCTGCCAATCTTCATTCCACCAACTTCTCCACAATCACCCTCACCTATCATCTGGGGCTGGTAATAATAGGCCAGAAGTGGCCTCAGTACAAGGGACTTAGTCCCAATCCACTAGCAATAAAAAAAAACATGAAGACTGATGCTTTTTGTGGTGTGACAACGTGCAATTTGGTAGATAATATCAACTTTTCGGAGGAACCCGCAGCTTTCATCTTCTACCCTGAAGATGGAATCCCTCCAGGCAAAATGCCGAGATAGTACTTTAAATTAGGCCACTATCAGTTGTTTCTACAACCTCTCCAGCTCAATAATTATTCACTATCGTCGAATCATTCGATGCTATGCTTCCTGAGTTACTGATAGTGTGTTAAGTAAACTACAAATAAATACTACCATATCCACGTGTTATTAAGAAGGGCTCCTACCTCCCTTCAAACGTGTGGAACAGGCATGGCTTTGGCAAGACCATTTCACATATCGAAGGCAAACCCATATTTACTGGAACTGGAAATCGGGGTAGAAACAGATGGACATCGTCTACTTCCAGAAAGACCGTGCCATAGCCCAGGCGGTTAGTCGCCGGTTTCCCACCGCGGCGGCCTGGGTTCGAGCCCAGGTCATGTGGGATTTATGGTGACAGAGTGACCCTTGGGCAGGTTTTCTCCGAATACTTCGGCTTCCCCTGCTAATTCTCATTCCACCGACTGCTCCACACTTATCATCATAACTCATCTGGAGCTGGTGCACGTGGCCAAATAGTGGGTGACCAAATGGACTGCCTCACCCCACCCAACGAATTTAAAAAAGAAAATACTTCCACAAAACTTCATTTAGCGAATCAGTTTCCATTAAGTCGTAACTGTCGTTCTCAACAGTGACGTATGTAGGAACGAACTGCCAAAGTTTCCCATTGGACATTTATTCTAGTCTGGGGTGACTATCGTATGTCTAAAACATCTCTGATGTTGCTTACAGCTGCATATCATTAGAATATTAATATATTCTATTTTCAACATGCGATGGAAACCAGAATCGCCATACCAGAGATCTCGTTGAGCAAGCACGACTTCCCCTCTGCATGGCTGCCTACTCGAACATGTTTTCGTGATAGTTTATCTAGGTATGAAAAGTAATTTCCACTCCTCACATTTACTTACCTATAATTCAGCTGCAGAATTACGGAAACTCACCGTTGACCTCCCATCTTCAAAGGTTACAGCACATCACAAACACACATCACTAAACTTTTAGTTACTAAAACTTTTTTTCACTCCGCGTAAACCTTAAAAACTACCATTCATCTAAAACCGAACTGTAACAAAACAGTGATAACGGCAGTCACCACTAGATGCCAGGTGTTGCTATGTCGTATTCGCAGACAGTATCGCGCCACTCCTATCAGCTAATGACGCTTGCAGCAGTAGTACCACACAACTCCATTTGAATGCACTGGACACTATTATTTATTTTTCTCCGTTACAGATTTAGAGAGGTTAAATTTATTTCCGTAGAATGCAGCGTTACCCCCGAAACAAATAAGATAATCATGTTTTAGTTTCAAATACAATACTCACGAACATAAGATTCGGAAATCGGTTGATCTATCGTCTTCAATAAAGAAAAATAATTTAGAAAAGTATGAAAGTTGGCACTAACTTCGCCGACAAGCGGCGGTCGCTCGGTCGGTGTAGTCCGGTCTTACGGAATCAAGGCACGGAGTTTTGTTTTTATGACTGATGTACTCAACCACTTTTCAGAATATAACATTAGATTATAATGAACCTTTGAATTGATTTAACTTAACGAGGGGTTGTATCCTGTCTTTAAGGAATGTAGGCATTTCGCGCTTATGTTAAGTAGGTCCCTTATCAACACGGCATGCCGCGTCCTGAGGTTGCAGATGGGGTAGACGGCCTCCAGAAATAGTGGATAGCTGCGAATATATTGAATAAACAGTGGAAGACAGCTGACAAGGGGTGGTCCTCCAGATTGGGGGTTGGGCATGGGGCCAACAACGCCTTACCTTAAATAACTTGTTACGAAATGTCAGAAAGGGCCTCTGACTTGGGCAGGTAAGGAGCAGTATGGGATTGAAATCTGAAATAGGTTCGCAGCTATGGAAAACTTAGACACTCAGGTGGATATTAATAGAGCTTGGGAAACTATTGGAGAGAATATAAACATTTCTTCCAAAGAGAGTCTAAGTTATTATGAACTCAAGGTTCGACAAAGGATCCTCAAAATTATTAGATCAAAAGAAACAAGCCAAATTGCAGTGATTACAGGATCCAAGTGAAATAAATGGTGATAACCTGAACAATATAAGACATTATGCCAGCATAAAAAGAGGGAACATCTGAAAGAGAATATTGGTGAGCTTGCAACAAACTGTAGGAGCAAGAACATCAGAGACATGTATAGAGGAATAAATTAATTTAATAGGGGTTACCAACCTAGAAGTAACCTAGTGAAGGATGAGAAATGTGATCTGCTTGCAGATTTCCACATTTTGAACACGTAGAAGAACTACTTTTCTGTTAGTCAGTAAAGCTGAGCCATTAGTACCTGATCATAGTCCTTTTGGGTTTTAAATTGCTGTTGCAACGTTGAAAAAGTATAAATTGCCAGGTGAAACTGTTTCATGCAGGAGGTGAAACAATATGAAGTCCATAAACTGATTAGTTTTATTTGGAGTAAGGAAGAATTGCCTGATCAGTGGAAGAAGTCGGTTATTGTACCAATTTAAATGAAGGACAATAAAACTGACTGTAGTAATATCACTGTTATCAACTCCACACAAAATTGTATCCAGTATACTTCTCATAAGGTCATGTCCACATGCAGATGAAATTATTGGGAATCATCAGTGTGGGTTTTGACATAACAGATCAACTAAGGATCATATTTTTTACATTTGTCAAATACTGGAGAAAAAATTGGAGTAAGATGAGACAGTACATCAGCTATTCATACACTTAAGAAGGCCTATGATTCAGTTAAGAGGAAGTATTGTACAATATTGTCATAGAATTTGGGGTACCCATGAAATTACTTAGGAAGATTAAAATGTGTTTAAATGAAACCTGTAACAAAGTCCATATACATAAACATTTATCTGATAAGTTTCTAATCCAGAATGGTCTAAAATAAGAAGAGGTTTTATCACCATTGCTTTTAAACTTTTCTTTATAACATGCCATTAGAAAAGTCCAGGAAAACCAGGTGGGACTGAAATTAAACAGGACACATCAGCTGTTGGTCTATGCCAATGATGTGAATCTACTGGGTGATAATATAGATACCATAAAGAAAAACACACAAACTTTAATTGGTGCTAGTCAGGAGGTTCGTCTAGAAGTAAACACAGAGAACATTAAATGTATGTTGCTGTCTCATCACCAGAATACAGGGTAAAATCATGACATAATGATATCTAACAGATCCATTAAAAATGTTGCACAGTTAAAATATTTTGGAATGACAGTAACAGTTCCAAGTTTGATAGAGGAAATTAAGAGGAGACTGAATTCGGGTAATGCTCGCAACAGTTCAGTCCAGAACATTTTATCTTCCATTTGCTGTCCAGAAATATAAAAATTAGAATATATGAAACTATAATATTTCCTGTGGTTCTGTCTGGGTGTGAAACCCCAACATTTAGGGAGGAACAAAGCCTGAGTATGTTTCAGGACAAGGGGCTGAAGTTACAGGAAATGAGAGAAAACTGTATAATGAGGATGTTCGTAATTTGTACTCTTCATCAAGTATAATTAAAATGACCAGCTCAAGGAGGATGAGATGGGCAGGGCATGTAGTGCAAATGCAGGTGAAGATGAATGCATATAGGATATTAATGGCAAAGCCAGGAGGAAAGAGACCACCACTAGGATGACCAAGACGTAGATGAGTGGATAATATTAAAATGGATCGTAGAGTGATAGAATGAGGTGGCACTGACTGGATTGATCTGGCTTAGGATAGGGACCAGTGGAAGGCTCTTGTAAACACGGTAATGAACCTTTGGGTTCCATAAAATGTTGGCAAATTCTTGAATAGCCGAACAACTTGCAGCTTCTCAAGAAGGGCTCAGCTCCATGGAATTACTTAGTTATTTCACCCATTTATTTAAGTTTTAATGGCACAAGCAGTGAAAGCATAGATTCTCGCCTTCTGGGTTTGTGACACTCTGCTGTCTCACAGGGGCTTGCAAACGTTTTCAAAGAACATTGATTGGCGCTGACTAGAGTACATGGCATCATAACCCAGATTACAATCTAAATTTTCGCTGCAGTAAATGATCAAAGCTTCTTTCTTTCTTTCTTCCTCTTCATCCTCCTCCTCCCCTTCCAGGAAATTTTCATGTTTTGCAACCCAATCCGAAATTCATTAGTTAAATTACTATGTGAGACTAATATACTGATTAAAGATACTAGCGTGAGGAAGAAGTGTGGGCATAAAATAATCTGTTAGAAATCTCATATGATCAAATGATATGTATGTACAGAGTGAATTATTGAGTTTATTACCTCAACCAATCTTTCCCAGTGGAAAAAAAAAACTGTAACACATAATTTCCTTTCATTCTGTACTAGTGCTTTACACATCGCTATCTGGGATGGAAGATCAATGTGTTAGACACCTGCGATGCAACACCAGCTGCCAGCAACCCAATCCCTCTTCGCGTGCCAGCAAGTGAGGAAGATTTAGAGGACAGTGAAGACGACGATGAAGAAGGGGAGTTACAGTCCAGACCAAGCATTCAGGTTTCAACTCGAGTCAAGCCAAATGGTGTGTATTTCAACATGAAGGACAACTTTTCGAAACAGACAGAGCACAAGTACATCCCGCTGAAGGAGTTCGCTAATCGTCCATCTGACACTCAGCATAACTTCCACCAGGACTTTCCTTTCTTGTACGAGCCCATCACAACAACTAGATCTGTTGTACTGGATGAAGGGAATATCAGAAATGCGTTACTGCCACCTCCAGTTTTGCTGAAAGACCCAACATACAGTACACAATACACTGGTGAGTCATTTTGAGGTCAGAATAACATTTGTAATATTCATGTCTGTCAGTAGTCCATCTGCTATCTCCAGCTACTTGTGATTAAATCTGGGGTTCGGATTATGCGCCAATTTTATTTTGGTACTCCTTTGCCCAAAGGGTATGCATAAATGTATGCATAAAGCCAGGTTTATTTCCCGTAGTTATTCCATGATTAAGTTCCACATCAATATTGTTATCACAGGTGATTATGGACCCAAGATACTGAAATTTACTTACTTTTTCTTTTTGTTGTCTATTATAACATGCTTCTCTTTAGTTTTATTATTGGCTACTTTGATAAATTTAGTTTTCTCTTGATTAATGGTTAACTCCATTTGTAGTGCTGCTTTCTTCAGCTATACTTATGCTTCTTTGACTGTTCTTTCACATCTACCAATAATATCATCATCAGCATATGCTAATATCTGTAGAGATTTATTGAGTATGCTACCTCTTATATCCAGACTGGTCTCTCTTATAACCTTCTTTAGTGCTAGATTAAACAAAAGGCACAAGGCATCTCCGTCCTTTCTTAGTCTCAAAGGATTCAGTTATTCCATTAAAAGTTTTAACTCTGCATCTTAGTTTTAAGAGTAAGCTCCACTAGGGACCTGAAATTCCTCCATAGCCTTGAAGAGCTCAGCTCTATCAATGCTGTCATATGCAGCTTTAAAATCTACAAACATATAGTACATGTTAACTCCATAGTCTTTCTTATTTTGTAGTAATTGTCTGACTGAATGCAGATGGTCTGAAGTGCACTTTCTAGGCCTGAACCCACACTGATAATTTCCAATAATTGTCTCTATAATGGGTTGTACTCGTAGTCTTTGAAATAGTATAACTGAGAATGCTTTCATTTCATTTCACTTAATTTATTCACCTTCCATAAATCCTGTTGAGAGTACATTCTCATGCAGATGTGGAGATCGTCCTTGTTACAGTTTATATGCTGTGTTCAGCAAAGAAATACCACGATTGTTTTCACGCATCATTCAATCTTTTTTGTAGATAGGGCATAGTAACCCTTCTTCCCACTGACTGGGAAATATTTCCTTTTCCACATCTTTTCAGTGAACTTCCATAGTCTATGTATAAGATTCATTTCATGTATGTTTAAAAGTCCAGCATTCACTCTGTCTGGTCCTGAAGCTCTGTTATTTTTTAATTTTAAAACTGCAATATTCACCTCCTCCAAGGTAGGTAATGGTATTTCTTTAGCTTCATCAGTAGATGGTACTGCCCAGTGTGGGGGCATTTCCAACTTATCCTCTCTCATATCATGCAGATTCTGAAAATACTCCGTCCATCTGTTCAGGATATCAGCTTTATCTGAGAGAATGTCATCATCTCTACTCCTGCAACTCGATGGCTTAGCCTGGAAACCGTCCCTTGTTCTATTCACTTGCTTGTAGAGCTTCCAACTGTCATTTTTAGTATCACATTTACGTAGCCATTTAAGCCTTCTCTTCCTTCTTATGGATCCTTTTTTCTTTCCTTCTCACATCACAGTATTCCTCTCCTGCTGCTCTAGTAAATTTCCTCTGAAGCATACTCTGGTATTTCCTATTGTTCTTCACTGTCACTTGTTCACACTCTTGGTCAAACCATCCCTTCCTAAAGTCCCTTTTTACTTTGCCAATACTTTCCTCTACTGCTGTTTTAGCTTACCTTTCTACTCATTCTAGAATTCTAGAATTTATGAGCAGGAAGACAATATGGGTATGCACGTAGAGCTGTATTCTCATCTCAGAGTAGTAGAGTAAGGAATATGGTATAAAATACGACATACATCTCAACATTCGAACATGAAATATATGAAATAAGGGTTTAATCCCTGAACTGAGATAACACTCTTCAGTGGAACCAAATCATTTACAAAGAGGGCAGCTAGTTCTCCATGAATGTGTCTGTAGATTACGTGTGATTCCTCTGATTGTGCATTGTGACATCAAGTATTCTTGTAGGTGGATACCAATATTTCAGAAGAACATGTTTCCTCCCTCTTGAGGGTTGAATTTGGTAGGGTAAGGTTACGGTTAGATAATGCAGATAGGTTGTGAGTAGTGTGGTCATTCAGATCCATGGGAGGAAGAGAAGAAACAGAATGTGGAGTGAAAATGTTTGTCCAAAACTTTGGTATCCACAAATAATGAATGAAATCACTACCCAGAAGACCACAGTCTAAACAATAACCGCTGTGGAAACCTTTAATTTTGTACTTGTGATCTGCAGGACAGGTACAAAATGCAAGCAACGATAATCCAGTCGCCCAAGCCCTGGTACGTGATAGTTACTTCCCGCAGACAATACCAGTCAAGGACAGTGATGCAATATGGGTGAAGACCCGCCACTCAGCCGACAAAACAAATCCTTCTGGGCTTAATATTCAGCCTCCACAAGAAACTCCAGTTTCATCCATACAAGTAATTCCTTCTGGACCTGTTATCCAAAATGTACAACAGAACTTTACAGCACCTGAACCACAGCAGCCAGCCACAGAGGTCACTGTGGATCCCAAGAGGAAGCCTGTTCTGCATGCCACGACACCGCTACCCGTAATCAGCTTCTCTTTAGTATCGGACTCCAAGCAGGCACCAGATGTTGAGGCCTCAGCGACTTCCTCCGTCAATGTGACATCAGAAAACAGGCTGACGTCTGGGGATATCCAGGTCAAGGTGCCTGTGATCCCCATAGCACTGACTCCCGGAATGATAAACCTCCACACAACCAGGATCCCCCAGGGGTACGGGCGCATACCTGTGTTCCCTCAGATTATGTTCCAGCGTCCTATGCAGCCCTATAACTTCATGTCACATCTTCGTCACCCAGTGCCACATAGGGGTTTCCACCGCCCCCCTGTCAGCGTGTACCACCCCCAATATGCAACATCCGCATCCAATCAGCATAATTTTATCATAAAGAAGCCATATTACCGGCCAACTCCCAGACCCATGACCATTACACCACAGTTTCACCTCCCCATTGGAAAGACACGTATCCCGCTACAACAGAGTTCCACATCCATCAAGACCTACCATTTCACTCTGGCACCATCCATCCAGACCCTCAAGCTCCGCAAAGTGTCCTCCACCACGTCCACCAGCACTACGACTCCCTTACCTGCCCCAACACAGGCTCCCAATCTCATTCAAGATGGAGCAGCAACCATCAAGCCCTCTCCATCCATCCCCCCATCGGATGTGGTTATGCTGAAGCCACTCAACTCCAACATCCCTGTAGCCATCAACACTGGCTTCAACCCTCATTCTGTAGTTGTTGAAGGTGGGTTCAAGCCCATCATTACAAGCAAGAATGTGGAAGCGCAAGACAGATCTGTGGTAGATGAAGAAGTGCTGGAGGTTAAGGAGAAGCCAGAAGCTAGCACCAACAAAACAGAGGAGGCAATAGTAGAGGAGCTGGCCTCGGAAATTGTGGCAGTCATCGCGGAGGAGGAGAGGAAGGACAACCCATTTCAAGGACAAGAGCCCGAGATGTTCGAACCTATGTTCATTCCGTCACCCCCAGACAGGAATGCCGCACAGAACAGCTCTGACATCAAGAAGCCAATTCTGGCAGAGGATCTAACGCCACCTGTGGCCCACATGAACCACCGACACAGCCTACAGCCAAGCAGAAAGAATGTGTACCCCTTCATGATGATACGTCCGCGCCCTGGACTAGCGCGTCGCCCTCTGTATCCCAGCAACATTGTGCCACCCTTCCGCATCCCAGTCAGAGGTGGATCCCCCACATTTAGGTACCAGCAGGCTGATGACTACACTGAAGACGAGACTCCAATGGCAGCTGAGCGCATGGACAGCTACCTTCCACCGATCGATAGCTCTATCCCTTCAGGAGTTGCAGTCACCTATGACGGCAAATCCGTTGCATCAATTCCCCCTGCACCGATTGCTATCAAGAACATCCGAGTCCCACTTGGAACAGCAGATTTGATCAGAGGAATGCCACAATTTGCACCATTCCAGGGGGAAATACCACCACCTGTGCCCGATGTGATTAGCCCAGAGAATATTCCTCAGCTTAGCAAAGAAAACCAACAGCAAGCACAGACACTGCCAGAACAGTTCAAACGGCAGAACGATGCATTTCCACACCCTCCACCAATTGAAAGAACTCAGCTTCTTTTGATTCAGCAAGACAGTGAGGAACTTAACTCTGACAGCTCAGAGATCAAAGAGGTAACGACAGCAAGCAAGGGGAACAAGCTCAAGAAACAAACTATTAAAAAACCTGTAAGCATCAAAGAGGAAGGCGAAATCATGAGCACAGTAGATGACAGGTGGCCATTCTCTACCAACCTGGAAGGTGTGAAGCAAATGGAAGAAAGTACAATTACAATTGCAGAACTTGATGGAACTACACTCAAACAAACAGCAGATCAGTCACCAATTCAGCCAGCAGAACGCAGGGAAAGGAGGTCAGCACATCATGAGCCTGGACATGTTGGTTATGATTATCAGCATTCTGGTCATGACCATTCCAGTCATCAGAATTCAGCCCACAACCATTCTAATTACCATGACCACTCTCAGCACAAACAAAGTAGGGCAACTTCTGTTACAGTTTCTTCAGTTCTCTTGATATTAAGTCCCATTGTCATAAATTATCTCTGAGAAATGCTAATTCTTATGACAATCTGAAGTTTAGAGTTGGAACTGTAACATGACATCTGCTGTTCTTAAATTTTAGTCTTCATGTAAGGGTGACCACATACTAACAATAGAAGATAGGAATAAAATGTACTTGAGTCACAAATAAGAAATATGAAACACTGAAAGCAATCCCTTTCACTTCATTGTTTATGTTCACTTTTATCATAACACTGTTACAATAAAAGTATGATAAATAGTTCTATTAATTCCAAAATACTTCCACTGAAATAATTTAACAGTAGTCTTGACATATTTTGAAAAAGTAACCGCTAAATACAAAATCATTAAGTTAAAACTAATGATTAGATTGCTATTTCCATTTGCCGGGTTTCAGAACTTATTACCAGCCGAGGTTTAGCATTAAAAATTATATATTTAATACGTGACTTATAATAAAAGAAATGGGAATAGCCCTTTCAAAACAGGATGCCTTCACAGTGACGATGTTTCTTAAATGTACTGAATGTCACCCAACATTCTTTTTCCATATGAAAATGCTTAGAAGAAAGGCAATGTCCAATCACAGGAGACTGAAAATGACAACAGTACTATGACCATGCTTAAAGTAATGCAGAAAAAAAGACAAAATTTATAATCATGAATTAACATAGAAACTCTAAACTTCTGAAGGATTTCCATCCCTACCAACAATAATCCTAACTCTAACAATGTCAAAGCTCAATTCTATTTTTATATGAAATTATATTCCTAGATAAAAATGAATGCTGCCAAATCATACCATCACTAAACTTATCAACACTTTACATAACATATGTTTTTCTTACTGTCAGACACTGAATGAAATCAGTCAGCAGCTGATGGCAGAAGCATACAAATGTATGATGTATGTAGATATTGCAAGCAGTAATCTTTTTCTGCTGCTGTGCATATTTTGTACCATTTTCAGCAAATCTATTATTTTAAAAGAAAATCTACTGTACAAAAAAAGTGGAGGTAATTATGTGAATATACATATTGTTATACTTTGTACATAAATATATACATATATATGTAATTGAAATAATAAAACTTTGTTAAGGAGTGGAATGTCTCGCTGCATTGTCTAAATTAACTTTGTGGTCAATAATCAGATCGTCAAGAAATTTCCTGCTTTCTTTGAACCTGAAGGCTTGTTAACTGTGTTCAAGAGTCTACCATTGTACCTTATCATTAGATAGATTAACCAAGCCATCTTAAAACCTTTCTCTATGATACACTTTAATATTACATGAGCATCTATGCCTAATTGATTCAATGCTGTCACTGCAATAGCTCAGATGGTATAGTGACTAGGCTCTAAAATAAAACACAACAGCAATTTTCAAATGGATGCATGAAACATTCACATGACTAGCAGAACCATGTGTGAAAATGAATGGAAGTCATTTTCATCATTTTTGTAAGGAATGTGTTATAGCTAATATAATGTGTCAATGACCTTTGGAGCAGAAAATGGGACAGTGAGAGTGAATCCTCTCTTGTCCACACATCACACTGTCATTCTAATGATAATTTTACCTCCTTTTGTTTTATGTATTTTCATCTGTTGTGCCAGTAATTACAATTCAAAACCAGACCTCTGAAACTAATTTAGAACATTAAACTGTTAAAGTGAACCTAATGATAGTTATGATGATTTGCTGTTCAAAGGAATCTATGCTTCAGTCCAGTCACAGCTTCAAGAAACAAATATAAAATGATAAAATGACTGTAAACACAGCATACCTCTATATATGTGAGGGATACAATCCTGACATGTTTGTGAATATCAAAACTCACAAATAAGGTCATGATAAGTATATGTATAAACACTTTTAATGAATCATGCATGCCTTTTTTCTCTTCCTAACTTTTACACTTTCATGTACATTACTAAAATTATTTGTCTTTCTATTGGGAGGCATGGGAGGGTGAGAGATGGCAAAAAAAACACTACTAGTATAACAGCGAGGTATGGGCTGAAGCAGACTGTGACATGACATGAACTGGTTAGATGCTAAGTAGCTGGACAAGGCTTGCAAAGAAAGTTCACACTAATACATTAGTGGGAGTTAGCTGAAAATAGTACATTCATATGTGCTGATTGCATATGCATATTTTATGGCAACTTTCTTTCCCTTTTACTACACAAATTATGCAATGTTCCAATTTTATATAAAAAAACTAGTGCAATACCCATTGAAAATTCAATCGAAAGTCTTCTCATTAGTTATGTAAACTAAATGTTATTGGTATATACAGATTCAATAAAGTTTAAATACAACATTTATCTGTAAATACTAACACAAAGAAATAATACATACACATACATAGGGTGGATGAAACATATTTAGCACTTGTGCAATTTTAACCGTATACAAACATAGGCCATGATTCTTTCAGCACTTAAACAGATGAGCCTCAGAGGCAAACACATACAGACACTGGACTCTGACAAGTACATATATCAAAANGGGGGGGGGGGGGACTGAAATTTTGGGGCTGTATTATAAATGACAACTTTATACAGACACTTGCAGCATGTAGTATATATGTTACATTGCAAGCCACAGACTTCTTTCTTAAGGCTGCCACATACACTCAACTGTTTGATTTGCATGCACACACATAAGTCTGAAGCTAAGGCAGTGCTCTGAGAAAGTCCACACACCATTCAGTCATTCTGACCGTTTTCTGCTCTTTCTTCTTCAGTTGTCGAAGAAAATATGTTGGATGATATGTGGTACGTGGCTCATTCCATCATATGCAAGAAAAAGATAGGAAGGAGACCGCTAACTAGGTCCAAGTGGACAAAAACTTGGTTACTGAAACAAAATTTTCTTTCTCACATAAACATCATTCCATGCATTGTGAAATCACACACAGTTTTGAGAAGAGCAATCCCTCCACGCAGAAGGCTCACTGTTGCACTTTGGTTTTTAGAAACTGGCATGAACTATGAAAGTTTAAAATTTTCTGCTGTGATTTCTCCCCATGCTCTGGGAGTAATAATTCCAGAAATGTGCACACAGCATCACAGCATGTGTGATTTCACAATGCTCTGAAGAAGTTTTATGTATTAGTATGTCTCTTCATCCATCCTTAAATGATTAAACCAGTCTCCCTGCTCTAACCTCATTTTGCCTAATATGTTTATGTGAGAAAGAAAATTTCATTTTAATAACCAAGTTTTTGTCCACTTGGACCTAGTTATCTGTCTCCTTCCTATCTTTTTCTTGCATATGATGGAATGAGCCATGTACCACATATCATCCGAAATATTTTCTTCGACAACTGAAGAAGAAAGAACAGAAAACGGTCACAATGACTGAATGGTGTGTGGACTTTCTCAGTGCTCTGCCTTAGCTTTAGACTTATGTGTGCGCATGCAAATCAAACAACTGAGTGTATGTGGTAGCCTTAAGAAAGAAGTCTGTATGAGGAACAAGATGAGTACTGTAAGCTATGATTCAAAATATAATAATGTTTTAATGTGTTTATGAATATAAAAATATCAAAGAAAATTAATAATCACTCTCCTGGAATTATAGAGGGTTTTACTCGCTATAGCCAATACAAACTATGAATTTATTTACTGTGACATTGAAAATAACAGTCGCATTTCAGCTGCAGGAGTGACTGAATACACAAAATTCTATGAAAAATTAGTTGGTGGATATTGCAGTTGTCACCACCAAGGAAACCGCAAAAAGACATAATAGATTTCCCACCTTTTTTTGAATGAGATGAAGCCTTTACTCAGTGCAGAGATTTCTTACAGACCTTTAAGTCAAAAAGATCTAAATCCAGAAAGAAAAATCTTTAATTACCGCTTCTAAAGCGAAAGAATAGTGGAAAAAGTTTTCAAATAATGGCATACAAATTTCGAATTTCCCGTACTCAAAATAATTTGAAATTAGATCACAGAGAAACAACTGTAGTGACCTCTTGTGTTCTGCATAACTATTTGCATCACCAATGCACTTTATTCAGATAGGAGGAATCAAACATGGATGAATTCCAAACAGACTAAAATGTATTTATACCATTACAAAAAAGAGGGCACAAAGGGAAAGTAGAGTGTCAAAACAAAATGATCAATTAATGTTCATGAGAATAGTATCAATGTATCCATGATTTTTAAGTTATGGTACTGTCCTATTTTTGTTCCTTAATGTCACTGCGTAATACTTTGAAGGAAGTATGAGTTTATGGAAATGAAGTTGTCTGAAATCAGTGGAGTTCCAATTCTGCAAGGTATGTGGAGTGGAAGTCTGAGGGCATGGCAACTGCTGTTGTAACATTTCCTCACATATGCCCAATGTCCTATTTAGTGTTCCCATCTGTACCTCAAAAATGGCGTCGTTAATAATTTTTTGTAGTATTTAGCCATTTCACCATGCCAGTTCTTGTGCAATGTGTTTCCCAAATCCTATGTATTTCCCTTCAGACTGTTAAGTTTTTTGGTGACAATACTTATCATGTTATCTGTAGGGTCAACTTTCTTCTTCGAGTCTGAGGATTTGTCATCACAAAGTGATGTCAGTTCTTGTGTAGTGTGTTCTCCAAATGCTGTTTACTTTCCTTCAGACTGTAATTTTTGGGCAACAATACTTAGAGTGTTATCGGCAGGATGATGATGATGATCATCATCATCATCATCATCATCATCTCCCCCCCCCCCCCCTCCTCCTTCGAATCTGAAGATTTCAAAAAGCTGTGAACTGATGACCCTACAGATGGCGGACCGACTCATAAACTTCATTCACATCACTGATGCCGTCTCCAATGTCCTCACCTTAGATCCAGACAAAATAATAACTCCAGCTTCATTCCCTGTATCATTTCTGTTGCAATAAGCAAAGTAACGTAATAATATTTTAGTGTGTTCGTACCTGACATGTTACACTGCCTTCATCATGTACTTTCTTCATGGAATTTCTTGAACTTCCAAAAATAACAGATCATTGAAGTACCACAAATTTGGATAACTGTCGTCAGCCCCAGCTCCAGTTCTGTTTGAGCCTCTTCCTTTGCTAAGTTCCTTTTGAAAGCAGGCACAAAGATAATTTTTTACAACATTACCTTTGTTCATAACTCGATCGATTTCCTTGAGTTTATCAGCAATTTGTATGTTGTGTTTTTTATTACAATCTGAATATCCTTTTGATTTTATCTTTCATGAGCATTCTTTTTGCTTGTATATATCAATAAAATGTGAAAGGAACCAGCTAGAAATGGTCAGCAAATTTGACACAATTCATGCGATATAGAGTAAAAACTAAGAAGTTGAGTGAGTGGCACACACACTCCAGCTTACATGATAACTTGTTTGTACACCCTTTGAAAAATCTCAAGTGTTGACAAAATTCCTTCAAGCCATGCCAAAGACTGTACATGCCAGGTATGTCTTCCAACTTTATAACACTCAAGCTGTAACTCAGCTTCAGATTAAAGTCTGCACATGCATATCCTACAGCAAAACAGAGCATGTGTGGTGGCCTTCATATCCAGATATCTGTTGTACAGAGATATTTCTCTAACGATGCTCTAAACGATCCAACTAACATTCAGAGAAAATAATCATACCATCAAATCCAGCATCAGTAGTTCAGAAAAAAATACATACAAACTATTTCCATTATAGAAAGACAAGCAATTAATGACATTTCACATTTTCATAACGTATACAGTTGGCCCAGTTCGCTACTTCCACAGCAGTACTTCAAGTGGAATTGCTTAACATTTGAAACAGGAAATTTTATGAACTCTGTCAGTCAAAAATCAGTAAATATGTTATAATTCTAAACTCCATTTCTACTGAATCCTAAAATGTTCATATATGAAATTCTGACAACACACAAATGCAGAAGTGTTTAATTAAATATAAAGATTAGCAGAAAACAGTGGAACATATTTCAAACATTACTGAAGAAAATGATTGTTACATGTAAATGAATGTTATATGTAACAGGCTAAGAACACGCTTCACACAAATGACTGCGTATTTTATAAATATTTAGAATATTTGTGTCAACACAAAAACTGTGCTAAAATTAATTTTTATAATATGATACATATATTTAGACAAACTATCTATGGCAAAACAACCACAAAAATTAACAAAATGTAAATTTTATACAAAGCAAAGAAAATCTAAAATTTGGAGAGGGTGCAATATATAATAAAAACATGTACAAAAAAATCTGGAAAGTAAAGATATAAAGCCCAGAAAATATTTGTAAAGCATTCTTTTTGGATTCACTTGTAGCACTTCTAAAACACGCCTTTATTTACTTTTCAACATAGTCACCATGGATCGCAATGCACTTAGTGAGCCTGTGAACGAGTTTTTATATTCCACCATCGTAAAAATCTCCTGCCTGCTCTCTTAGCCATGGAGACATGGCTAAGAGAGACATTGTTGATGAAGTTCAGCGATTGTTAAACTTCTGTCAGCCCAAATGTTTTCATCAATTTTTTAGATGATTTCATCGCCGACAACGATGGCCTCCCATTCCTTATTTCATCACGAACATCACTTCTTCCTGCTTCAAACTGACACCATTTTGCCATGTTTTGCCTGTTCATAACATCTTCACCGTAAACAGAAACAAGTTGGAGATGAATTTCAGCAGCAGTTTCTCCTTTCACATGAAGAAATTGAATTACTGCACGAACCTCACATTTGGTGGGATTTTGAATCGACATGGCCATTTTAAACACACACTGCAAGCGCAACATTGCCATGACTGTGGCGGCTGAACTCTGCCTCGTCACACGGTTTCTATCTCACACGGCAGAACTCCCTCTTTTGAAGAAAATATGTCCTTGCATTTTTACTGGACTTGTATCTTTACTTTTCTGGATATACCTTGTATATGAGAAAAGTCAGACCAGCAACAGTTTAACCAAGAAACAGTATCACAGGCTGATAAGATGACTGTACACAGTAGAACAAGATCTTGCTGATATTACACTTTGTGATCTATTGTTAAACATGAAAAATGCATTTTGAATAGGAAATGTTATCATCGAGAACTTCTGTTATATGGCACACAAAAATACCTGATAACTTGGGTGTTTTCTATTTCTGTGAAAAGCTCTGATATCGGTTTGACATGCTCCAGTAACATCTATCAAGCATGTCAGTTCTTAGGCTATAGATTTGAGGAAATGGGCCTTCATATATATATGCTTCATTTCAGAGGTGATTACATGGTAATAAGTATTTTTTTTTCATTCCAAATATATAATTACAAATTAAAACAAATAAATAATAAACAGGAATTAAATTGTGCTGTACTGTGAAATGTTAAACTTTCTACTGGATTATTCCCTGAATAGAACACCACACCACTAATGAAGAAGCAAGCTATTGTTATTACTGATGAACTGCTGGACATTCAAAGAACCCAGAATACTGATACCCAAACTCACATACATATTACAGACTCTCATACAGCTTTAATAAAAACACCTGCCATATTTCATATGCAACAGAGAAATGTTCACTCTACTACAAATTCTGATGTATTTTGTTCACAAACATTTACAAATTAAGTATTCTCCAGGAACATGGGATTTCAAATCTCAAAATTCTGTACAGCTGGCAGCTGTATTTTAACTCAGTGTGATGATATGAGTACTGAAACACTGTAACATCTGACCACCTGAACAGCACACGTGACACACAGCAAACATAGACTAAACAAACCAGCGGAAAGAAAACAAACAATTATTGACCACCTTTCCTTCTAATATATCTTGCACATTTTTCCAGATGTATTACAGAATAACACTGTACTGAAATAAATTACAAATTTGACAAGCATTGAACTGTGAATACATAACACCAGCAGATTTTAAGAACTGGAAACTAAGTCTTGGAATATGATCATATGATGGCACCATGTGCCTGCTTTGAACAGCAAATGTGGACCCCATAAGTACCATAAGACTCCAAACTTGAAAACTCAGATGTAAGTAAAGTTTTCTTGCATACTAAATAAATTGCATTTATACATTCTAACATAAATATTTAAAACACCTGTAAGCTTAACTTATACTAAACTACACACACACTTCATATGAATCATCCATCATGCATGTAGTTAAAACTAAAAATTAGAATCCAGTTCTAAAACCCATAACATTAAAAATAAGAAAGTAAGATCTACTAGTATTATATTTCTGGACATCATCCATCAACATGATTCCCTATCTCTGGAGACAGGGACTAGCTCTATCTGTTGGGCCCAACTGAGTAGGTTTTTCCTGAAGATGGAAACAGAAACCCATCTCCAAAACGTTGTTTTAAATAAAAAAACAGGACAGTGTTTTAAATGTAAACAGGATGCTGGATAATGTCCACAAACATAATATTTGTATTAATGTACCATCATCACAAACTTTCAGACCTTATTAACTAAGACCTCTCGTGAATTATCAGTTACATAATTTAAACTTACATACTACCATGTCGGATCTGAGGTTCTCACGGTGTGAACAATCAACAATACTATCTTCTGGGACGTAATGCTGTGTAGTTTCATAAAGTTCACCATTGTACTGCCTCCAACTTCAGGGTCAAAGAGTAAGACGAGGAAGCAACCAGCAAGAAGCAGCAGCAGCAAGCATATTACCATCTTTTCATAGTTCCTATATGAAATTTCCTTTCAAAACTTACAAAGAATATAGCAGACTTTTATTTATGCACTCAGCAGGTACAGTAAAACTGTTTATTTTCACTGCAGATGCAGGCATAATGAAAAAACCATTCCTTTCTACATAGCCAGACCATTCTAACTCTTGTTAACAAATTCTGGACTCCAATTCCTCTAAGAATTTTATTTCTTATTTTATATTTGTTCTTGATTTCTTCTCAATATATCTCAAATTCCTATATATATTTATTGCTTAGAGAAAAAACACTGCAGCAAGGAACAATAATTCTGATCATCTCATTAAGCTACTGCAAACTGGTACCTCCAACCATTTTATTCCAGTGCCCATGCACTACACTCCAATAGCAATTGCCAGTCAGAGCTGGCTACTGGTTCTCACAAGCAATTTGCATAGGCAGCTACTATAAGCCAAAAGAATTACTCTTAATATCGCTACTTACACTACAGGCTGATGCCAAACAATTTTCCCACTAAGACATCCTGACACTAGCAGACAATGCTGAGGAGAAAATTTGGTGCTGACAACAATGTCTGTATGACAGACATTAGTAGTTAGTTCATACAACTGAACTGGAGGTTTTGATGGTACACATGTTGACAGCTCTGCACAGTCTGGAGAAAATGCTAGCAATCGGACACCATAACCAAAAGGGGAACAGATCAACCGCCCATCAGCAGAGAAGCAAAGTTCCTTAATAAAACCTTTTCCAACGTTGGGCTCTTCTATGAAATGTGTGAGTCTTCTAATGTTCTGATGTATGTGCTGATTACGAGGTATTTCATAATTGATTCTAGGGGTCACCCTGTAGCCACCACGGGTACTGTTAGAATGGACTGCATTATTGTCAATATACAGGACAGTTCTGCTAGATGCTGGTCCACCAGAGGCAAGGGAACGGAGAACATTCCCATCACCACCCCACTCTCTCTCTGTGCTAGTATTGGTTCCCTGGTTTGCAGTTGTAGTGGAAGTAACAGACGTGGCTGCAGCCATCATTGCATTACTGGCAGATATCACAGCTGCAAGTGCATTTGTCAGGGAACTACCTGCTGCCGAACCTCCTGAAGAACTGCTGTTAGGTGCTTCTCTTACGGCTTCCAAACCTTGCTCATTTGGTCTAATGTCCTGGCTCTGCCTTTGGTCACTTCCTTCTACCTGTTGTTCAGAGGCAGAACCACTGGGACCATTACTACCACTGTCAACAGAACCACTTGCACTTTCCACACGCCGTCGCACTACGATCCTCACTACTCCTGGTCGCCTCTCATCCATACTTCCAACACCACCAGCAATGCCTGATGATGGCTGTCCAGCTCCTCTCTGTTCCATATTGCCTCTAATTCTCATGTTTATGCTACGCTCACGTTCCGCACGTTCCCGCTCTCTTTCACGACGAACACGCGCTTCCCTTATAGCAACAAGAGCTTCCCAGACATCTGCTGAAGACACATGAAGTTCTACATTTGCTGGAGACAGCCCTCGCCGCCCAAGGTCACCAACTGTTCCCCTATGCCTTGTGTCTAGAGGGATACCATCATCGTTCCTCCCTGCCCCAGACGTTCGGGCTGCACCTCCTCCACCCTCTACTACCGCTGCAGGAAACGAAGATGAACTGGAAGATGCATGCACTACAGGTATTGAATCCATTCGTAATTCCACCATAGGCCTTACAATACGAGCACGTGAGTCAGGACCAATTACAAGGGAGGATGTCAACCCTGTCATGGCAGTCTGCAAGCGATGCATGCGTGGATGACGACTGAAATTCTCAGTGTCACTGTCACTGTCGCTTTCAGGAACATTTTGCCGGGATGTTCGACTAGACTGTGTTTTGTCATCACCACTCTGGGAGCAGTCTTCTTCTTCATGATCAGTGTCACAACCAGACTCATTCTCTGATTCTGATGGCTCTCTGTCCTGGATGTCATGCACACATGTCCACTGCAAAGAACACCAATCCACTTTCAAATTAAGATATTCCAGAACACCAGGCAGTTGGCATATATTTCCATACAAAATCGTAAAGTAAGTGCGACACTTTTCTGCCTACCCTAACAGTAAGACACCAGTTACAAGAGCCTGGTTACTTTTCTGTGTGATAATGACCAAGTTGTCACAGATATGGTAGGTGGATTTAGACCACTTTGGGTAGGAACATGATTTCAAGTAATAACACAGAAGGAAACTCAATGGAACGATGTCTCTTATGAATTACAGTTTATGACTTGAAACATACTCAGGATTTCACAAAATCAATATTATTAAAAATACTATACTGTGGAAATGTGAAAATATAGTTCAGAATAAAAAAAATTGGCAGTGTCTCTTGTGTTGTGACACCATGCAGTCTTACATGTGGTTACCAATATTTTGGAGAAAAATGCTGCCTCTATATAAGGATCAAAGTGAGTATGGTAAGGATTCATCTGAGAAGACTACATTGTACAGTATCTACCCATAAAAGAAAAGCAGCTCAAACAACCTAAATTAGCATCTTGGCATTGCAGGAATTAAATCTGGAATTTCTAGAGCTAAATAAATACAGAATATATTCTTTGGTTATTTAACGCTGCTGTTTTAACTGCAGAAGTTATACAGTACTGAATGAGATCATGACTCAGTACAAATTTGTAAGGGAACAGTTGCATATTATTTCAAGGCAGTACTGTAACATCTGTTTCGAAAGACTGAGGTATAATCACTCAGGACAACTGTTAACCCAGATATGATTTCCAATACCTACCTCCAAAATACATCATGGCTACACCAAACTTATTACACATACCTCAGAGTTCTCATCATTACTGATATTGCGACTGAGGGCACACCAACCCTGAGGGTGGATCTGCAAGGAAGAGACAACTTCCGCGTCATCCCCTGTAGGAAAGTCCGTCACAAACTCCACTCTGTTGGTCTTACGCTGGTGAGAGAACAAGTGAGTGAAGTCTGCAGCTACAGGTATAGTCGTCTGACTCAACTGCATCAGTCGATACATGTTAGGCTGAAACAGGAATGTCACAGTTCTACAGAAAAAAAGTCTCACAAATTAATCAATATGCATTATTTTAATGTTGGTATCCAGTGACAATGTACTATTACTCAAATTAATGCCACCAGACACAACTATTGGTACTTATGTATAAACAAGTGACCCATATAAGGTTAAAATTTATCCCATATTTTCTGCCATGTTAGGATTGCAGACCAAAGCCTGGGCACTTCCATATGTTGTTAAGCTTCTAACTATAAGAATCATCTGACATAACAGACAACTATTCAGTCCATACATTACCAGGCAACTAGCTAATACTAAACTGATCCAGGTTACCTTGAAACCAGCGAGATCTTGTGCCATGGTTGTGAGGTCCAGATTGTGGATGATGATTAAGTATCCACTTGTGGTGCAGATGATCATCTTGGAAGCATCTGGGTTAAGTCTTGTTCGCATCAACCCATTTGTTTGAAAAACACGATTGTACACAAAGCCACTTTCTGTATAGCTGCAAAACAATAATATATTTGTTCATGCCACAAATGAGGAAAAGCTCACAGCAGGCATGTGCAAAAATATGATACCTTTTTACAACTTTTCTATATGAATGCCCTTTACTCTTTGCTCTATCTTTTTCATTAATATTTGTACTGAGCAAGCTGGCTCAAGTCATAACTGCACAATTAATATCTTGATTGGGACACTGACTATCCTGCCTGAGTTCTATATAGTTTTCCTCGCTGATTCTTGGCAAATTTCAAGATAGTACTGTACTTAAAATTTGGCTACCAATGCTTCCTTTCACATCTTTCCAACTTCATATTTCACTGAATATCCCACTACTATTCAGCACTACATGGTCTAAGATATGAAAACATCGTTAAAAAAATAAGAAAAAATAAAGAAATAATATCTTACCTCCTCCTTTTCACTGATGTTTGGAGAAAATTCATCTAAATCTACTTAACCAAGAAAATACTGTTCAAAAAGGCAAAGATCTTACATGGAATTTTGTGTATGCTGGATCTAATGATGGCCATATGAAGCCAAAAGGCATAGCTCAAGTGTAGCATAAATAAACTGGTTGGTAACGGTTTTGCAAACAATATTTTAAAGATGAAACCTTGTACTATGCAAAAAATAAACTCTTCCTTATAAAGTAATGGCATTATAGCCAATCTATAAACTGTGGAAGGAATATATAATCAAAACTTCAGGCATGTTTCACTTTCTTAAAAATCTGTTCCTTGCAGCTTGAGTTTTCTCTAATCTAGATTCAGTCTCTGACAACCACTCAAAGGCCTGTAACACATTTAAAAATAAATAACTCAATAAGTTATTTTGATTTTCTGCACTTACAACTCATGCAGATCTGCCAAGTCAGGAAGGAGATCGAGGATACCAGGGTATTTTGTGCCGGGATAGAAGGATCAGGTCTTGAGGCGTACAGCGGTGTCATGTGTTAAACGATTATATTAGTTCTATTATTAGGATCATCACTGTATTACCTTAGTATATTATTACATCATTATATTATTATTCTTATTTATTATTGTAAAATATTTGACTTGTCCTATATCTCGTATAATGATCCATGGATATGAAGTAACAATAGAGAGAAACAATACATGGGGTACCACAGGGGTCAATTCTGGGACCATTACTATTTCTTCTGTATATAAATGATCTCCCCTTCGTTGGTGTCTCCACCTTATCGTGGTGAGGGGGGTTTGAGTATGCCAAGGACCCTGAGAGCTATACCAGTGGTAGCGTAGCTACTGGCAGGGCCTCCCTTGCTGGACAGGTCAAAGGGTAGGCATCAGACGAAGAGAGACACCAAAAACCAAAAACTGATGCCGGAAGCAGCGTCATCAGTAGTGACTTGAAGCACAGAGCAAATGGTGCTCGAGATGGTTCAAGTTCGTACAGCAACAGGCATGACCAGAGTGGTTTGAACAGCTGTTGTACTGCGATGTGGAAAGCAAATGGAAAAACTACCACATTATCACTTTTCCTGGATAGTCTCTGTCCAAAAACAGACACACCATGTATGCAAGATGTTTCCTCTGGAGACAAAAGAAACTGGAGGGGAGGACAGAAGTGACCAGAAGACAGGGAAGAAGACATAAGAAGATGCTGGATGACTTTGGGGACAGAAGAGGATATTCTTATTTGAAGGAGAAAGCTTGAGATCGCATTAAGTGGTGGAACTGTTTTGGAAAAGACCGTGGACCTGTCGTCTGACAGATTACTGATGAACGAATGAATGATCTCCCGCTAAATGTATAAGGTGCGGAAATGGTATTGTTTGCAGATGATATTAATGTACTTGTTATTGATAAAGATAAAGCTGTAGCTCAACAGAAAATAAATAAGTTCATGAAACAGCTTGAAACATGGTTTCAGGTAAATAACCTTTTAATAAATATAAAAAAAAAAACTGCTGTCATTCCATCTTAGTAAAAATAGGTTTGCAGTTAGACCGCAGATACTCTATAACAACTTGGAAATTGCTTACTCATCGGAACTGAGATTTTTAGGTATAGGTATTATATAAAACCTTAAATGGAATACCCACATCCAGTCATCATGTTCAAAACTTAGTAAAACATCCTATATAATTAAATCACTAAGAGGAGTTTTGAGTTCAAATATGTTAAGAAGCATTTATTTTGGAAAGTTTCAATCATTACTGAGATATGGAATAATATTTTGGGGTGAGGGTGATAGTATAAAGGCATTTAAAATGTAGAAGAGGATGTTGCGAATAATTAGTGGACTTAGTAAACAACAGTCAAGCAGGCAAATTTTATTATGGCATCCTCATGGTCAAATCTTTGTATATCTTAGAGGTGTTATGCTACATAAAAAGCACAAAGCAGATCTGATCCAACATATGGATATTCATAGTTATAATAACAAGAATAAACAAGGATTTTCATGTTCAATTTTGCAGAACTACATTATTTAAAAAAAGTGTAGTAAATATGGGGATATAATTGTATAGTAAGGTGCCAAACAAAATAAAAAACTCGGTGGGTTTTTCAGCTTTTAAAAAATACTTAAAATCCTATTTATTGAAACATTCTTTTTATATGATAAATGAATTTGTTAGTTTTAATAAAAAAGCAGATGGTGCAAGGACTTATGTTTGGATGTCATAGCCATTCATGAGCTGTATACAGCAGTTTGTATATTTTTGGGAATGTTGTATTTATATATTGCTTATGATTGTAACAAATGTTGGTAGTATGCTTGTAACTTTGTAGATTTGTTTTGTTAACTTGTATTGTTGAATGACTTGTCCAAGTGTTACTATGTAGCAAAACGGATGAAATAAAATACAATACAATACAACTAAATAAATAAATAGACCATTACACAAGTAAACCAGTTCATTGCTCAGTTTATTTAATGCTGTATCAATTTTTGAGGTTATGTAATGTCAAACAAGACAGTGTAAAATGACTGTGAGTGAAAGCCAGGAGGAATGTGATTCTGGCCTATTTCAAGACACTACCATGGCATTCACCTGGTGAGACCGGGAAAAACCAATCAAAATTTCGGTGAGGATGGCCAGTTTCCACCTAGTATTGTAACCAGCTACCACCCATCACATTACTTTCATGCTCATCTGCTTGGTCAAACAAAGAATATCTGTAGCCAAAAAATTCAGTAATAACCATACAGGCTTCAGAAATATAACTCTACAGCTCTGCCAGTATAGAAGCTATGTTACAGGCTGGGCAACAAAGGAGACTGAGTTAAATTCCCTGTAGGAACAAGATATTTATCTCTTCTACATAATGTCTAGATTGGCTCTAGAGCCCACCCAGCCTTCCTGACAAAATGTATCAGAGGCTGCTACCCCAAGATGAAGCAGCAGGGGCATGGTGAGGTTAAGAATGAGGGAGTTATACTTCCACTCCACTACATGTCTTCATGGTTTGGTGCATAATTAAGCCCAGGGACAATTTTCACAAGCCAGGACAGTTCAGTGGGTGTAATGATGGGCCAGGGATTAATTCTTAGGAGAGGCAAGAGATTTTTCACTACTCCACAGTGTCCAAACTGGTTCCAGGATCCACCCAGCCACCTATCCTATGGGTACAAGGGACTCTTTCCACAGGGATAAAGTGGCTGAGGCATGAAGCTGACCACTCACATCCTTCTATTGCCGAAGTCAAGAACAGTGTCGCTATACCACAACTCCTTGTACATCTTCATGGTGTGGTGCTTAATTAATGAAGCAAAGAGAGAACTTCACCTTTTAACCTAATCACACCTTTCAGAGCTTTACAATCATAAACTTAGGTACCTAATTTACACAAGGTTTTCTGAAAATGTTATAGCATGGAAAATACCACTGTCTAGTGGTGCCAATCATAAAAGAGAAACATTCTGTCAAATACTAAACAGCTACTTTATGGAGTTCATTAGTTCCAGACATACAGCTCATATCATATTTATTACCTCAATCTTCAAAGTCAAATCCATCATATTTTCTTGTCACTCACATAACTCGAATGTCACACCACAGACCACATAACATGCAGAACATGGAATTAATGTTACTGAACTGAACCAAATACAATGTCTTCCTGTTCACCTCATATTTTAAACCAAATGCCATTTTTTAAACTCTGGTGACAACATTCTTCATCAGTACTGCTCTTCACACATAAGAATGAAATGCATGAAACATGTGATGATTATTTACAGGTAACAATGTGACATGCTGCAACATAAAAATTATGTAACACACAGTCCAGTGACAGGTTTTTCTGGATTGTCATTACCTGTTAATATCCCATGTGTATATACTGCCATCGAAACCAGATGTCACCAGCAAACCATCTCGTGGAGAGAATTCTATGTTCTTTACCCAGTTGGAGTGACCATGAAGAGTACGTATTTGAGACTTCAAATTACGAGCATCCCACAGCGCTACAGTGCTATCATCACTGCATGTTGCAAACACACGAGAATCCAAGAACCTAAAGGATAGAATAATCAAAACAGTGTAGGAATACTTTCATTGCTCTAGCTTATGAATTCTTCACCATACCACCTCCATACTATAGGACCTTCTTTCAAATGATGATGTTTCAGATAATACAGAAATTCTTTGCTGTTACAGAACCTGAAGGTCCATCACTGAATCCTATGCTGTACCAATATAGAAAGTTAACATCTTCACAATATAGCTCTCTAACACAACTTTTATACTACCCACCTCTTTCAGTCATGCCTAGGTTTCCCAGCAGTCTTTTCTTGAAGTCTTCCTACACTTCTTCCTCCAACCAAGCACACTACATGCCCCAATCATTTCATCCTTCATTAATCACTGTGCCAGGAAAGTTAAGAGTAACTTGCCACTCACTTCAAACTTGCTTCTCAAATCCTTATCCTCTTTAGGAAAATTCTCAACATGACAATTATCAGTTCTAGGAAAACTACTCTTTCCAATGTTGGAAGTCTATACAAAATGGGTGCCTTCCTCTAATTGATAACAGAGATAGCAAAATTTAAGTCAGATGCAGTAAATTGTAAAACAGAGAAACATGTTGCTGTGAATATTAAGAAGGCATACACTTACACTAGCTCAGTAGACACCTGACACATGCAGAAAAACTAACATTCTTCCAACTTGCCACCAAGGACAACTACTTCATATTTCAGCTGACTGTATAATAAGCTGTGACCATGACCAGTTTCTGTTATATCAATGATAATTTATCTTTCCATAGATCATCGCATTCCCCTGTTGACACTTGTTACCAGCAATTTCAAAGGCAGGGATTTAATTCACAAAATATCTAGAAATTCAAAGCTAATAATGCATTTTGCAGTAAACATAAAAAATGGTGCATCAGGAAATATATCTTTCATTTCCTTATTAAAATTGGTTAGTCTGTCAAAATAATTCTCAATCCATGATTTATTTAAACCGTCTTGCAGTGCATAACAGGACGCAAATATCACACAAGGTGTGGCAAGTATAGAACTGTACTGCAAATGGTACACAAGTTATGACATGCTAGCAGATGCTGCAAATGAGACGCTAAATACTAACGAGGAGGCAGAAATTTAGAAAAGGAGGAAGAGGTACAAAATTAGAAATCACTCATAGACAAATGTGAAATGAATGACTTCCTTCTATGGGTAACAATCCAAACAGTCTATGATCACTGGTGGATTTAATGAGTAATATGCAACACAGTGATTTCATTCAGAAATCAGTTATTATTCCAACAGACTTCTGTGCATTTTAACCTATATGAAGGTCAACATACAATCAAAAACACAATGGAATTTTGTTGGTCCTTAGCTCTGTTAACAATGCTGTAACATTTGCAAAAATTATTTAGCAAGTAAAAGAACTAGAGGATGGTTATGTACAGTCATGCGCAAAGCCTGATACTGCTATAGAGCAGTCATTTTCAGTTAAATGCTTCCATCAGCTTAGAGACCATTCAAAATGATAAATTACTAACATATGGAACAGTATTTCATATATATAACAGTTCATTAAATATTTCACAATGGATACTTAATCAAAAGATATAACATTCAGGATCTGAATACTGTCAACTGACCTAACACAATTCACACAATCTCGATGAGCATTGTCAACTGCATGAATCAATCTTCGACAAAGAGGGTCAAACATTAATATGCTTTTCTTCTCACATGCTGCAACCAGAAGAGATCTGCAAAAATGAAAGAAAGAAAAAATAGAAAAGCGATTCATATTATGCCAAATATTTGCATTACTGTAATGCATATAAGTTAAAATAACAATGATTATAATACGTTTAGTGATAAAATAATAATAATAAAACAACTAACTTACCCATCCGGTGAAAATTCTAAATTGAAGACACCACCATGCATTGCATGCCTCAAATTTTCACCATGATCCCATGATGTACATGGGAGAATAGACGAATACAACCGTTTTGAAAACCTATCGGCATATCCTAAAGGGTACCGCTGACCAATTTCTCTCTGTCTCAACCAGGAACTGTTCATTAGTCTCGTCTTAACCTTCGGCATGTTTTATGGCCTCGACTTTTACCTTCGTATCACAAGGTTCCTTCAATACAACGAAAAATTAACTGAAATTTAATTTTCGTAATATTCTCACTGGATGGTATACTCTCTCGGAGACAGATGATTCGTCTTGAATTTGGTAATAAAGTTCGTATAAATTTAAATTAACGAGTTTCACCAAAAACACCTATTCAATCTCTTAACAGACCACTACACATGTTTATCGGAACACTCCATGTTGTAACAATTGTGAACTATCGTAACTGTTTGCTGTTCTACAGGAAGGCCAACCACCCCAAATTTGGATGAAGAATGTTAATTTCGCCGTGACGTAGAAGGTAAAACGTAATGTAAAAAGTAAAAACAATTTTCTCTTCATTCCTTTATATGATTGGAAAACATTAAACGTAGGAATACCAAGGTTCCTCTCCGCTCCAGAACTGTGACAGTCACCAATAATTATCCACAGTTACTTGTGTCTGTAATGTTTGACAAACTGTTACGAGTTAATGTTAGTAGGATTGATGATGTTAATAGTGTTTGGAGAGTTTGGAGTATTTAAATGCTATAGCAATTTGCTTTCGTTGTGAACACTGGTTGCACTTCTGTACCCAAAATTAATGGGTTTGTGGTCTGAGATTTTCTCGCTGGAGGCCTGTGTGTGTGTGTGTGTGTGTGTATATGCTGTGTATAATATGTACAGTTAACTTTAGTTGACCTTAACTTATGTTTGAAGAGGCATAGTTAGATCATTTGGTGTAATGTTATGCTGTTGGCATCACAATCACTCAAATTCACACTTTCACTATCTTCTTTTTCTTTTCCATCTTTCAGTTGCAATTCCTCAACTTCTGGACCTATATTATCTATTCCCTCTACTTGGCAATGTGCAATAATGTCTCCCTTGTCCTTAGTTGTGAAGGTCTGTATCAGGTTTATCATCTCTGTCACTCTTTGTTTCCCAGTTATATTAAGATGAATCCCATGCCTGGTATAACATGATCTGTCTAATTTAATGCCCACTATTTTCACATTACTCTCTAACTTCATTATTTTATGCATTTTCATATCAAAAACTTTTATTTCTTCATTAACGCACGAGAAATCCATTAAGTTATATCTGTGAGGAACTGTAATTAATATAAAATTCGTATTCCATGGGGCACGCGGTAGCATAGTTGGTTGAAGCACTATGCTACAAGCTGGAAGGTCGCGGGATTGAACCCCGATGAGGTCATTGGATTTTTTTCAATTTACCAATTCCGTCCAGCCGCACTATGGCCCTGGAGTCGATTCAGCGTCTAAGAGAAATGAGTAGCAGGAATATTCTTGAAATGTTCTTGGGGTTAAAGGGTGGCCAGTGCATAAGGCTGACAACCTTACCGCCATCTATGAGCCGATTGTCTAGAAAATGTGGGAGCCTCAACATCTCAACCATGTGGGCCTCCATGGCCTTTTACAGGGATACCTTTACTTTTACTTTATGTGCATTCCATATTAAAGTATGGGATAATATTCTGGGACAATTCCTTGTACAGCATAAGAATATTCAGGATACAAAAGAGGATAATCAGAATTACGACAAACTCAGTAAAGGGAGCCTCATGTCATAATTTGTTCAGAGAATTGGATATCCTCCCTTACAAGCACAGTATATTTTATCAGTCTCTATGTTCATCATAACAAATAGGGAATTATTTAAATTTAATACCAGATCTATTTGTGATCAGTATTACCCCCCCAAACTAACTTAACACTATTCCAAAAAGGAATATGTTATATGGGAATAAAGATTTTCAACCATCTGCTGACTAAAATTATGTCTGTGTTTAACAACATGAGTTTTAAATAAGTTGACAACATTCCTTTTATACCATTGAGGAATTTTTTTAATTGAAACATGACTACAAATAGGATTAAAACAATAAGATTTTATAATGAAGCCATGTATTACGATGATAGTGATATATTATATGTGGCCTGTTGTAGATGTATGTGCATGTTTTATGTTTTGTACATTAATGATTGTTATTGTGAAATGGATGTACAGTTGGATTTACGTTGCATGATCAATTATTTTATTATAGTCTTACCTTGCATAGTGAGTGATACATTATATGTGGCCTATCATAGACCCATATGTATGTCTTAAACTTTGTGATATCCAGTCTGATTTATATTGTATGATTAAATATCTGTTATAAACAATGATGGATTCTATATTGATATACATAGATCTCTGGAAGACACATTAAGTATGAAATATGATAATATCAGAACATAGTGAAGTTCTTTTCACTTTTCTTTGTATAATAATAATAATAGTATATAATACTCGATCATTGTTTTTATAAAATGGATGAGTTTCTCTCATGTGAGACAAACACCAATCAATTATAATAACATAATTCATGAATAATCGATTTTGGGAATCCCTGCTGTACAGTTTTCCTTTCTTTTTTCCAGCAACCAAGATAACACAGTCGGAGATGTACCTGAATGGGCTACTCTGGAGAGATTGCAGATACCAAGAAGCTGCACCAGGAAGGGAGAACAGATGTAGTGAGATGTTGCAGTGTAGAGTCTACAGTGAAACATTACACCAGTGCTATCACCAAATTCGCCAATATTATCTCAAAGGCCGCGCCATAGCTTAAGCGTTTAGTCGCTTGCTTCCCACCGCTGCGGTCTAGTCAAGTGGGATTTGTGATGGACAAAGTGGTGCTGGGGCAGGTTTTCCCTGAGTACTTCGGTTTCCCCTACCAATCCTCATTCCATCAAATTCTCCATAAGCATTATCACCAGTACAGGTACAATAAGACATATGGAAGCCGACGTGCCAAGGGGACCTAATATGGATTCCACGTCACACTACGTGAAATCTTAACTATTGTAATCTACTATAATCTATTGTAAACAATTGTAAGTATTGTAACTTTATTCTCTTATTGTAATCAGCCAATGTACAGTAACTGACTTGTCCTATATCATGTAACGATCTATAGAGACGAAATAAATAAATAGTTTATATATTGCAGGCAGGGATGGAATAAGCATGAGTACCATTCCGGTTGAGGAAAATTAGTGACCTTGCCAACCAAATTGTATTACACAGTAAGGGTTTACTGGTGAAGATCTCCAAAAACCTGTGTATGCAGCTAAGAGTACCTGTAGTTCTTAATACTGAAATATGTTTTAAATGCTGAGCCCTTGCCTACCATAATGAAATCCCATGTATAATTGGTTCATAAAATAACAGAACACCAAGAAGCCATTGGCAATAAAAGCAGCTTTAATAATTTCATTTATTTATGGTTTATTTAATGAAATTTACAGCTTGTGTTTTATAATGCTGAATAAAATTAATGAATAATAAATTGGAAAATGTATGGATGGAAGTGATTATGGCCTAATTTTAAGTACTGTTCTGGCATTTGCTTGGACTAAATACGGCCCTAATGATCTCTGAACAGTCAGTTTCTCAATCGAGATTTTAACCTGGGACCTCTCAAATATGAAACAGGAGTGCTAACCACTGAAGCATGCCGTTTGGTAAAAGCAATGTATCGCATGATCAGTTGTAAGTGTTACAGAGAAGGGTGCAAAATACTTAGTTAAAAGGAAGGAACTGATAGTGAACAAAATAAATTAAACGATTTGTCTGGAGAAGATTGTTGAGTTTGAGGTACTTATAACCCAGGTAAAAGGTACAGTTGTTCCTGATCTTAATTAGGTGTTTGGGGGAATGGACGTATTACTCCACACGTTCTTAATCTTAGCACTAGATGGAGGTGAGTGGTTAGCTTCGCACACCACCTGCTTTATTCTAGTTCCCTGTGGTAGGCTGGGTGGGTCCTAGAGCCAGTCTGCAATTTGCAGCAAAGAGGAAGTCGCTGTCTATGCTAGGAATCAGACCCTGCTCAACCAGTTTGTACCCTAATCACTATATTGACTGAGCTGCTCTGCCTCCTCTTTGGGACCAGGTAGGAGTCTTACAGAATATATGAGAAATGTACACACAAAAACAAAACTGCTAGTTTCTTTTATAATCATCATAAAACCCATTATAATCCAACTAATGCATACATGAAAGTATTATAATAAATTCTTAAACTTGAGAACATCATCTTAAATGGGGGGAGGGGGGGAGGGAAGCAGGAAGCAAGAAATCTTTTCCATAAACAATGAAAGACAGTTACATATCATCCCATCTTCCTCTCAGGTATTGTTCTAGCCCCCCTATAACCAACACCTGACCCCCATTCTGCCTATCAGATAAACATAATTCTATAGATCTGAATTCAAAATTGTAGGAGATTGCATAAAACTATTTAAACCCAGGGAAACATAACAGTAACACTTAAAACAACTGGAAGAAACTTCGAGATGGTGTCTTCTTATTGAAGTCAAATTGAAATGCTTCAGTTGGGTTTCCCCTATCAGCTCCCTGATTGGTGTGAGCTCCACCAGTGTTCGATGCACCAAAGTTAAAAGTAAACCCTGTAACATAACACATATACTCCTTACTGCACTACTTTAAGCCGATATATGATATAAATTCTGTCCTAATTGTAACAATTTATTGTAGGTATAGAGTGTAACAGGATGCTTAAATATAATACTTTAAGCCCATTACAATTTTTATTTTGGGCTGCCGGAATTATAATGTACTGCAGAAAAACAAGGGTATAGACATGTTACATACATCTTTGTCTAACTGGGACTCATACTCATGACACTGGTACAGTTACAAAAGAACTCCAACATTGAAAGACATCTTTAGGACACTGAATTGTGTAACAGAAGAAGTTACCACTACAGATACAAATGAATTCAACCTGTTGAATAGTGCATTGTCACTGGACCAGTGTTTGAGATTAGCTCTTTCTAACAGATCCAAGCGAGTATGTGCCTATTGATCTGATGACGTGAGGATGGAAACAGATTCAGTTTTCAAAACATATTCTTTAAAAATATTAGATGATAGACAAAGTCCAGAAATTGGGTAACCCCAAAAAACAAGTGTGGTCTCCTGGATGATGACTCAGTTTAGACCTACCAGACCAAACTACATGGTGCCTTGATCCAATTCTGCATTTAAGGTGGAGGAGGCATATACTTCTGAGGTGTTGTCAACTACCTGCCTTACTACACAGTGTCATAATCCAGAACACCATAATCGTAATTTTCTCCTCATGAGAACCTCAAATCAGATTTAGACAGAAAAATGAATGAATGTCTACAGACACTTAGTGTGTTATAGATATAAATGTACTGTTGTGAAGTTATTTACGTGATCTAGTGAGAGAAATCATTTTGTGTGTACGTGTATTTTTTTTATAAACTCATAAGGTTTAAAAAAAATGTTTCAAGTAAAAGTTGTAGATATTGTAGTGTATATATGCATTGCTGGGTAGAGATGTCGAAACAGACAATGAATACAGCTGTTGCTATGCAGTAGATGGATAAACAAACACCTGTTTCTAAGCAATGGCTCAGTAAACATGTTCCTGCAGAAATGATATCCAGTCTGTCGCTAGACAACTGCCCGTGACAGCAATGGGATGTTCAAGGCAGTGTTTTTTGTTATGTCTGCCCCTTGGTTATGTAATGACACCAGCCAAGCTTCAGTTGAAGCTGTCAGCATTTCACTTGAGTGAAGTGACATGAAGTAGTTGGCTGGTGAGTGAGAGTTCAGTTGAAAGTCAGCCGGTGTTTAGTGGCCGCCAGCCTGGGACTCATTTGAGTTGTCAGTTGACAAGAGGATCTGAGTGTGAGAAGTTGAAGCATCTCCCTTGGTAGAAGCTGTTTCCAGGAAACAGCTAGTGGAGACTAACAGACTGAGGGCGCTAGTCTGTGTGTCGGTGAACTGTAAAATATAGTTCTGAGTGGTGTATAAAAGTGGTTAATAAATCCAACATGCAATCCATACCCCGTCTGTAGTCATGTACCCCAAATATGTGACAGTATTAATGAGAACTACATTGTATATTATGTACAGTTTTTTTATGATGCAATCTGTGAAATTTTGTTAGAGCTTCATATTAGACTGATATGAAACAAAATTAAAGTTGCCTAGCAAGTTTTAGTGTAATAGATCTCCGGTACTAAATTTTTCTCAGAAGCCAGTCAGTCATTCAGAAAGATCAACATTTAAATACAATTCACATTATGTACTGTATACAAATGATTCAGGTCTCTGTCTCCACACATTCTTCAAAACTTTATGTACAGAAATATGATGGGCTTACCAGTGTTGCTTTTTTGGTTGCTACGAGCCCCAAACAGGACGTCATTTGCTGTTTGAAAGCTGGATGAAATAACAAACGGGGGGGATTTTGGAGAAACTGTTCCATCAGGACTGGTCATCAGGAAGTCTCCTTGTGGTGATAAAGCACAGCATTCATCCTCAGGGCTTGCAATGCAGCAAAAATGATCATGATGTTGGTCTGCTTCTGATGTTTGATCAGTCCCTGAAGAGATGCATAAACATATTTTTTTATTTTGTTATTGCTAGTGGGGTGGGACTAAGTCCCTTGTAGTGTGGCCACTTCTGGCCTATTGTACCAGCCCCAGATGATAGGTGAGGGTGATTGTGGAGCAATTTGTGGAATGAAGATTGGCAGGGGAAACCGAAGTACTCGGAGAAAACCTGCCCCAGCGCCACTTTGTCCACCACAAATCCCACTTGACCAGACCCGGGATCGAACCTGGGCCGCCGCTGTGGGAAGCCAGCAACTAACCGCTTGAGCTGTGGCGCGGCCTACTTTTTGCTTACTAACAATGGTGTATGATCTGTCCTATCTATATTGGGACACTACACTACAAGCTGGGAGGTCACGGGTTCAATTCCCAATGAGGTCATTGTATTTTTTCACTTGGCCTAATCCTTCCAGCTGCACTGTTGCCTTAGGGTTGACTCAGCTTCTATCAAAAATGAGTATCAAGAGTCTTCCTGGGGGGTAAAGGTTGGCTGACAACCTCACTGCCATCTGTGAGCAGATTGTCTAGAAAATATGGGAGCCATGATGTCTAACAACCCTATGGGCCTTCATGGCCTGTTACAAGGATAGCTTTACCTTTTACTGTACAAAACTAGAAAAACTTGTTTACTGAAAATGTTCAAACTAGATGCTGAACATTTTTAATAACATCTCACTTATTTAAAATTGCTCTCAGCTAGACGTACCTTGCAAATTTTCACCTGTAATGGGTGAGCGGTAACATTCCTTATCAGCAGTCATGTCTATCTCATTATCATCTTCAGTGGTTGTTGTTGGCTCTGCCTGAGAAGTTGTTGAACCACTTTCAACAGTGTTCATAGTATATGCCTAAGAACATTAATCATAACCATTACTGCCAGTCAGATTCTCAGATAGGACCTCAAATTAGGCTATATCTGCTTCCTTCGATATCTTATCAAATTCTTCATTAACTACTCATCCTTCTCTTCAACACTATATAGTTTGAGCTACTGAAAGCATTGTTAAATAACCATAAATAAATTAGTAAATGCAGAGGAATCCTCAGTGGTGAGTTTCCATCTTCTAACATTTTGCTCATTTTAGTGTTAAAATCCACTTCTCCCAAAAGAAGCCTTAAATGTCGGTCTCAACGTAGATTGATCTGGCTCAGGATAGGGTTAAGTCGTGGGCTTCTGTAAACGTAATAATGAACCCTCAGGTATTTTAAAACTATGGAATTTCTTGATCAGCAAACTGTTTATTAACTACTCACAGTATATTCTATACCATGGAGTTAAGTACATTCGTTGATGAAATGCATTGAATTTTCACCTAAAATCTGACTAACAACAAGTGCAATGTCTTTCGTTCACACTGTGACATCCATATCCCTGAGCCATTTCAGACAGGAAATACTGGTGCAACATTTAAACAATAAGAAAAGAACTGTTGTCAATACAAACTGTGCTTTCAGTTGCTTGACCAGACTTGTTGCCAGCACAAGAGATACTAAACCCATCAAAAAACTTACTGTGTGTCTGGAGGAAGCTTGGAACAGACTTCATTTCATCTCTACGAAGAGCAGAGTGAAACATAACGCAACAGTTATTATTGTCTCGCCTGGGATAGGACTGAGGTCATGGTAACAGATTTTTTTTGCTGATGGTTTATTGGCATTACATTTCACTCTGCCTTTGCATAGAAACCAGAGTTCTGAGGTGCTTACCTGAGGAGCTGACACTTGTTGTTCGACAGTGTGTACAGGTGATTCTTGATAATCTCCACGAGGGCCCACTGTGGGCCCTGCATCTGTTGTCTGAACATTGAGCTCTAGTATATTCCCACCTGCTGCTGAAATGAAAAAATCTGAAAGATGTTTACTGACCTTCACATAATTCTGAATATGCTCCTGGAACATCAGTTTGTATCAGAAATGTATAGGACCATCTTCACAAGTAAAGGGCGTCACAATTCTAATTTTGTGGAGTTGTGATTGATATGTCATGTTCACTGATACTGACTGAAGTTGCCGTGGTTGTCTTCTCTGTCTCTCTCTTTGTACTCAAAAAAGATATTAAGTTTCACAAAAACTACATCAGTTGCAGATTTTTGTGAATGTGGGTGAGAATCTTTAGGTCATGTGAAAGCAGGACCTTACTTTAGCAGAAGAATATCAGTAAGGTAAATGTAGGGGAAGCAGAATAGACCACTGTAGGTCGCAGTGCAAGGGCCAAGGAGGCCTACCCATCATACATTCAAGGTAAATGTAACATTATCCCTGTGCCTTATTAGTTAAACACCACGCAATGAAGATACAGCTCTACCATTTTTGACCTTGGCACTACATGGAGATAAGGAGTCAGTTTCACGCACTGGTGGCTTTACCTATAGAGAAAGAGTCTCCAGTACCAATTGAATAGGAGGCTGGGTGGGCCCCAGAGCCAGTCTGCATGCTGTGGAGTTGAGAAAAATCACTTACAACTGCCAAGAATCGGACCACAGCCATCCAGTACATTGCTATACCATCTGAGCTGTCTTAACTCCTATATACAATTGCAAACTACTACTAATTAACAGAGAAGTCCATAAACATGAAGGTTTCACTACAACTAATAACTGAGTTATACCTTTCAACATACTTTAGTTTTCTGTAGATTAAAATGGATATAAATGGAAAGATAAGTAGTGGGAATGTAGAAGTTTACTTAAAACATGTCAAAGAAGTTATCTTACAAACAGTTTTATTGCCAGTAGAGCAGCATGACTTCTGAAAACCTTTGAATTTAAAATAAATAAATCATTAATCAGTGCATTCTACCATCAGTTACAAAAATTAATGTTCACATTGTCTCCAATTCCTGACATTTTATGCATCCTCATGACATACTCACCTCTGATGCCTACAGCTTCAGTAGCATGTGCTACAGTTTGCTGTGTAGAAGAAGCAGGAGATGTTTCTATTGGAAAAGGATCTGCCTGTCTTGAATGCTGCTGAGCAGTCTGACCTTCAGTGGATGTAAATGTTGGTGTCTGATCCATAGCTTCTTCAGGGGACCACTGGGACTGTCCAGACTTTTGTTCCGGCTGAACTGTGGCAACAGCTGGAATGCCTTCAAATGCTGGCAGTGAGGACTGACAAGGGTGTATCTCAGTATTGTTCTCATCCATAGCTGTAGAATCAGTTACAGCTTGCAGTTCTTCCTGTTTATCTTTCTCTGTATCTTCAGCTGTAGAAGAATCTGCCAGGAAAAAGTCAGATACAAGTTTTTGACAAGAACAGTAATAGGGATTCTTTGAGAACATCACAAATAAAAATATTGCATTCGGCATTATGGGCAGCCAGGTTATGGAACTTCACTCTTATACAACACAACAATAAAACGAACATTTAATTCAGCCTTATAGAAATTTGGGATAAATACTGAAACTTTTTAAACACAACTTGCAAAATAGCAACAAATTCAACTAAAACTATTTTTTTTTTTGTCAAATAATTATTTGTCACATAATTCGGATTGCATATGCATGTGCATCAGTGACATGGCAGGAAATGTAGTTGCAATTGGCCAGAATATGCAGGTTTGTCAGTGGTGTATGAAGACATATTGCATCATGGTTGCTATTACCAGGTTATTTCAAATTGTACAGTTCATTATATTCGTATAACTAGAAATCGTGTCTTTATTACAGCAGTAAAACAAAAAAAAAATCTATAGGAATGCATCTCTTCTTACAATGTGGGAATCAATGGAAAAATAGGATTCACATCATACTGTTTCATGGTATGGATATACTTTCAAGAGCACATTCCTCCCATGATGCTATGACATGCTGCAGTTATAGTTAGCGCCTCATAACTTTAGCTGCGTGGAAAGGTAAATGCTGTTGTGGAGCACACGAAGCTGTACCCTTGCTGTGGTGACGTTCAGAGCTACTCTCCAAGAAGAAAACATTGCCTATGGAGACCAGGAGTAGTACTATGAGTATATACCTGACCACACTCGAAAACGCTACATTCCAAACTGGTAGTACCAGTACGATGACAAGACCGCTCCCCCAGCCCCACGAGATATGGTATGACCCCTCTACCATGGCTAGAGTTCCGAGGAACTAACAGTATATCATATGAAAATACAGACCTTGGTTCACTGCCATGGGTGTTGCTAGTGAAGGATTAGTCTCCTCACAGCTGTTCTGTTTTCCAGTTTGTAATCCACTCCTTGGATTTGAAGTGCTTCTCATATCTCTTGCCATTATATGAGAAACGTTGTGACTTGCAACAGGAGGGTCTGTAACAGCTGCAGATGTCATGGTGTTTCTGGACTTCTGATCATGACATGGAATCTTTCTTGGGGGAGAATACCATGGTGGAAGCTGAAATTTTGCAGTATAAAGAGTAGAATGATTACAAGAATCAAAACTTATTAATTAAATTGAATTGATTGCCTGTATTAGGGTTTATGGAACTGACTAGACAAAGGAGTTAGAAAACATATGGAAGAGCTGTTTTTCTTAATAATGATATCCACTGTCTTGTAATATCATGACCGCTACTTAGGATCATATTGTAGTCTTCTGGGTTGTGACGCCATGTAGCCTTGTATGTGGATATTGATATTCTGGGGGAAAACACCACCTACATCTTCAGGGTTGAAGTATGCCGATCCAGGAATTGCATCAGTTATATATGAGTTACATGCAAGGATACTGTGGCATACAGACCCACTGCTAGGCAACAACCATGAAATGAGGAACTATAAAACGACCATTGCTAAGTAATGGCTTCGCAAACAAGAATGTTTCGAACGCAACAATTACATTGCAACAGGGGAACAGTGTTTTCCATGTGGTCTGTGCTGAGTATAAGGATGGCCTGTTAGTGAGTTCACTAAAGAACTGCTGGTTCTTAGTTGTTGTGACTATTGCTGTTAGAAGCTGGTAGCTGATGCCAGAGACAGTTTGGGAACCCAGAGGAAGGGGTTCGTCTGCTGTTGCAAGCCACTACCAAGCAACGACTAGTGAAGACATGACTGCAAACACTAGTGTGTGTGTGTGCAACAGTGAACTGTAAAGTGCAGTCATGCAGTCATCACATATGGATCATATGAAAAAACTGGTAAACAGCCTGTATAAGGGGCACACTGGTTTATTGTTGTTATATGCTGGCAGAGCTGTGATCACACACATTAGAAAAGAGCTCAGAAAACTGAGTATGTGGTGTAACTGGTAGGGGGGCATAAGAAATCTTAGCAGCTGACATGCTCGCAAATTCACCACCACCATGGAAACCACTCAAGGATATCAATTAGTTTCATGTTTAATCCTTTTCAGGAAGGATATGGTTTCTGTGGCTGAAGATTCCCCACTGCTGTGTAATAATATTAAATATTTTGGACCAGTCAGGGCAGTTTAGTGATAACACATTTAATTTCAAGTAGGTAACGAACCTACCTAGATTGGAGGGCCGTGCCATAGCTCAAGAGGTCAGTAGCTGGCTTCTCACCGTGGCGGCCCAGGTTCGATCCTGGGTCTGGTCAAGTGAGATTTGTGGTGGACAAAGTGGCGCCGGGGCACATTTTCTCCGAGTACTTCGGTTTCCCCTGCCAATCTTCATTCCACCGATTGCTCCACAATCACCCTCACCTGTCATCTGGGGCTGGTACAATAGGCCAGAAGTGGCCGCAGTACAAGGGACTTACTCCCACCCCACTAGCAATAAAAGAAATACCTAGATTGGATCGACAAAATTTTACAATTGAAAAAATTATCCTGACAAGAGATATTATTGGCTTTCCATGGTCTGCAAGGAAAATTCCTATAGCATCCTTCAAGCAGACCACTTATGTTGTCATTACATTTCTTTCAATGCTAAGTATACTTGGCAGCTGATAAAGTGTTCTTAACAAACATATGAAATACGAACCTTGAATTTTTTTGGTTACAACTAACTTCACAAACTCTTATAGCACAAGAAAATATTCACTGTACTTGTAAGGTGTATAAATCAAGAACAGATGAAAATGTTTTATCAATATACGAGATTTTAGATTCTCATGGTGGTTATTATAACTACTGTGACAATGTTTGGTTTGGTAGAGAGACACAAGGTTTCAGGGAAACCTATTGCCTCTATCATCTACCCTGAAAATTCAGACTGCAGGTTCCTCAGAATTGTTGGTATGTATCTGCTAAATTACATGGCATTACACCCCAAAGCCAAAATAATCCTTATTTTATCAATATATTTGAGAGATCACCTTTAACTGAGGAATGCTAAAACATGGGATGTCTATGACGAAGTTTGAAGGAGGAGTAGACAGAATATCCCGAGTGAGGTACCTTTCAGTTCGATCTTTGTCTTTGAGGTTCATCAACCTCAGCTTCTCAATATTCTTTGCTTCAACCTCATCCCTCAGCCTCCTGCAATGAACCACATACAAGGTCAAAGTCAGATTTTTGTGTTTTAAGGCATAAAAATTTGCTTGATTTCATCACATGGTGCCAGCATTATTTTCCTCTTTAATGCATTCCTTGTACAGTAAACTGGCAGTTACTTGGTATTCAGGCATCCAGAATTCTCATTCAACTAGCAAAAATTACAAAGAAAATTCACCATTTTTATAAAGTTATTTCAGAAACAGAGTTGCAATGCACATGTTTCCACAGAATATGATAGTTCTTCCAGTTGATGCTAGCAGTTCTGACAATCGTCCTTCCTCACGCAGGTGCCGTTACAATCATGGTGGTCCATGATTACAGTAGCGGCTAGTTGAATTTGTGATTGCGTTACAGTATATTTAAAATTTTTAACCTATTGATCCATTATCCCTATGCAAGAATTGTGGTTTGTTTTTAACTTTTCTGGTATGTCTGCTTGGCAATAATGACAAGAGCACCCACAGACTAGGGTTCCAATCCTTCCCACTGGTAGAGCAATAAAGATAATGGCCAATGGAGGGAACCTCTAACTCATCATGGATTTCACGACATTCATACAGCCTACATTTAGCCAGAGGTGTGTGTGGTGAAACACACTGGATATACCCAATCTTGGACCCAGTACCTTTGAAACTGAGTATGGCTCCTTATTCATTAATCAACAGGTCCAACAAAAGTAGAAACTCCAACATAATTACAGAAATACGTAATATATGACTTTGTAAAATATCCTTTACCTGTTTCAGATTCAAGTAATCAGGAGTAAATAAATATTTGTGTCCTGATGGTTTTCTGAACAATGATAGCATAGAAATACCATAAAGTTATATATATATATATTCAATCCTGTCTACAGTCACTCATACACGGGACACTACTTATGTAAGATAAAATGCAAGCATTAACCTGGACTGACTGTAAACATTTTATGGTAACTGGATAACATCTACTGAAGAAAAGAAACTATTTCAAACTAGTTAGAACATTGTGGCCTGTCTTTTCACTGAGAGTGCATGTTCACTTTATTGGCAGCTGCTGTCATTGGCATTGAATGTGCTAAGGGTTCTCAAAAGTGTTTGTATTAAACTACCCTCATAGAAACTCCCATTCCTTCTGTTAGCATTATGGCACTCTGCAATTCTCCACACCACACGGGCACCTTTGTGTGTTTATGTTCACTTCTTGCCACCGTACCTGATTTCCTGGATCATTGCAGCATTCCTCTTTGAGAAGGTTTCTCTGTCTTTGTATGCTTCTGCTAGTTTCACAATTTGTAGCTTCTTCCTCTGTTCTGTACATATCATAAAATCTGTGTTTTATTTTCAGTTATTATATGAAAAGAAATTAGGATAACATTAAAATTAGAAGGCATATTTCCTGCAGCAAAGACACAGATACTCTACATAACAAAAGTAAGGTATGCCTTGATGGGAAAGTTAAATGTTACGGATGAAATACACAGTGCTGTTTCCCAGTAGTGAATCTTGCTGCAGAAGTCAGATCATGAAGAACTTCAACTGCATGACCTGGCAGTAACAAAACAGTTTCTCCCAAAGTACAGGGAGCTGTAGTCAAGCAGCAAATCTACCCACTTTCCTGGTCTAATGCATACAGCAGTGTGAAGTTCTGTAGTGAAAGTTTTTTGGTGGTGGGATTGTTATTTAATGCTGCTCTCAGTATCAAGACTACATGGCAATAATGAATAAGGACTGGCTGATGTAATGGGAATTCTCCTCTCCATTTTACTACATGGCAATAATGAATATGGACTGGCTGATGTAATGGGAATTCTCCTCTCCATTTTAATGGTCTCATGACACATGTCTAGCCAGACCATAGCATTAGTCACTTCTCTTTTCTGTAGCCTCTAAGTCCGTTTGTACTGGTAAGTAGTGCTTGCTTTCTCTAAATCCAATTTCTAAATCACTTTAAACTGTAGTCAGATTTTAACAAATGTTTCTACGCCTTGATCACAGGTCTAGAAACAAAGACACTGTATACATATTCAGTTTTTGGGCACTTCCAAATTTGGAGAAAAAGTCAATAACAAAAAATTCATACCTCGCACTTGTTCCAAAAGCCGACATTTCTGTTTTATTTCTGCTATCTGCACTTTGAATTGCATCAGCTGAATATGCTTCGTCTTGTACTCTAGCTGAAGTTTTTTTCTTTCACGGGAAAAAGGAAGTTTACTGTAGATTTCCTGCAGGATGGAATAAATTCAAATAAAAGAAAACACCTCATAGTCATGGTGGAAATATTCCATAGTATCTCATACTAAGGTTCAGAAATGCTGAAATATTTGACCATCAGATTAATGAAATATTATTACAGAAAATATCAAATGTGCTTTTTACACATTTATTTCAAATCTTTGAATTTATTTTCACTTGTATTAATACAGTCTAATGTCTCGTGTTTCCTCTAAGTATTGTAACATATGGCAGACAGAGGCACAGATGGGAGATTAATGTTAAAAGAGACTTTACAGAAATTGGTGTAAGGGTGTGGACCAGATTCAACTGGCTCTGGACAGAATCCAATGGCAGACTTTTGTAAACAACATTAGAAGTTCAGGATTTCATTATAGTACGAATTTCTTGAGCAGCAGGACAATTATCTACTTTTCAAATTAGATCCTGTACCATGAATTAAATTATTCCATTTATTCACTTATTTATTTGATGCCAAGAAAAATTAAATATATTGTGACATGTTCACGTTTATATTAAGTGAGATGCATAGACATAATTTATAAAGTAAAAATCTTACCATATATATTGCCTAATACAATTATGTTTCACAAAAAAAAAAAAACTGGCATATCCCCTTTCATACCTACAATCCATGCATCAATTGGTGAGGTTAGGGAAAGATAAAATTGTCCACACTATGAAGAGGAATGGGGGAGTGGAGGTACAGGTGCACACATTCCTAACCTCTGCACTAGACCAACTGGTGAGGTTATGTACCTTATAACGTTCCCAGGTTGCTTCATATTTGGATATGATAAAGTCGTGGTTCTTCTTCTGTTCTGCAGTTCTGTTTTGTTCCACCTCCAGTTCTTTAAGAAGGCTGCTTTTATGTTCCTTCAATAAGAGCTGTGTATTTCTTCCACTGAAATGGAAATTTAATAAAACTTGAGGCACATACATACATAGCTTCACAGATCCGTTGCCCGTATTGGGCCAGAAATATATGAAATATATATGGATCCAATTATTACACAAATTCTGTATTTCAAACAACAAATAACAGGAAGAAGGAAACCAATAAATAGAACAAAACTAAAGTAAGTGAGGATTGAATTAAATCCCATATAATAGTTTAAACCAATGAAGACACAATTACAAAAAAGTCTGTCTACCAATAGCATCTTTAACTGTTGCAGTAAGATTAAAATTTACCCTCTAATTTGCTATGTAGCTTTACACTCATATGAATTCTTTGGTGTTTTGTGTAAGGTTTTCAACTGACTCTATGGTGCACAACTTTCTAGAAATTTGACAATTACTGAACTGCTTAAGAAGTTTTTTTTTTTTTTTAAATCTGTCGTTTCATCATTGCATTAAGAAAAATCCATCAAGTTCAATTTGGTCCACCCCTTTACACTCTACTTATTTAAGGCTGTCTTTTATAAATTAACATATAAAATTGATATTTTTGGTGGTTCTTTGAATAGGTGTAAAACTTGGTCTTCCATATTAAAGGAAGAACACAGATTGAAGATTTTTGAGAATAAGGTGCTCAAGAGAATCATTTATTTCAGTCTCTCTTAAGGCCAAATATTCTCCACAGCATTATGCTCTCAAAAACCTTCAGTCTATGTAATAGGCTGGAGAAAACTGCAGAATGTTCATAATTTGTACTTTTCACCAAGTATTATTAGGGTTATCAAATCAGTCAAAATGAGGTGAGTGAGGCATATGGAATATGTGGGGGAGTTGAGAAATGCATAAAAAATTTTAGCCATAAACAATGAAGCGAACAGACTACTAAGGAGATGAAGACATAGATATGAGAATAATAATGAAACATATCTTAAAGAAATAGGTTGTGAGAATATGGACTGGATTCATGTAACACAGGATGTGGTCCAATATTGGGTTCTTTGTGACCATGATAATGAAACTTCAGGTTACATAAGGGGAGGGGGAGTTCATTGACCAGCTGAATGAATATCAGGTTCTTATGGACTCACTTAGTCCTTTATCCTCCCATCAATATATTTACATATATGCCTCCAAACCAGTTTCTTTCCTTCAGGTTTTCCAGCTAAAATTTTGTATACAATGTTTTACACTTGCATTAGTTATGTAGTGTCAAAAGAATATTTATAAGATGTGGCATGATGTGTAAGAAGTTATGGCTATTTAAGGTATTATCCAAGCATTTTCTTGTATGCACTGAGAAAATGCATGATGAAACTCAGTTAGAATGAGTATGAGTATGAGGAGTGAGCCATAAAACTGGCCCTTGCATTGCAACCTTCAATGATCTATTGTGCTTAAACTCAGTTAGGATAGTCATTACACAGGAGAAATTTTAAACATGTTATGATAAAATAAAACTATTAACTGCGGTAGGAAGCAGTCCACCATCATGAAGGACACAATTAGTGGCTGTCTTATAATCAAGTAACATAACTCTGGCTTCTGAGACAAGGGTAACCATGTGCTATGGATCACAGGCAGGATGGAACCTGCCAGAGGATTCAAGCTGGAACATATGGACATATCCAGGTGAGCATGTCAAAATTCTGACATGTCTGCAACCAGACTAGTGTGTCCTCTACGTGGTACTATGAAGGAATTTAATATCTTTATGAGTTTTCTGCTGAGAACTTTGTGCCCACATATAGTCTGGAAGAAACAGTGAAAGCCACTCATCTGTTGTCAAAAAAGCAAAATCATTTCATCTATTTGCTGTAAATTTTAAATTTCATACAGCCAGCAGGAAAATCTTTTATATAGGTGTCCCAAAAAAATTACAGAAAAATGTGCAGATATTTGTACCTCTCAATACTATCATCAATCAAAACTTCCTTGCTAATCTTTTCTTTCTTGAGATCTTCCAGGTAAATAATGCCATTTTTAACAACATCATATTCATTATTCAATGTCTTGAGGTACTCCTTTTCATCTGGAATATATAATATTGTGCATTTTACATGTATAATTTAAGATAACATAATACAGACTGTTATATTTTACATGAATTCACTGATGAACATAATATTTTAATGTTACATACTTTTAAGATACTCGTTTTCCACAAGAATAGACCTGTAAATAGAATTAATATCTGTTAACGTTTGGGAAAGTGGAAATTCCTCGTTTCCTGACATTATTAGGAAGTAAGGTACAGTTATACTACAATAAGCAATATTTGGCCGTTACTTGTAATTTGAAACTAAAGCGCCATTCATCAGGGCTGTTAACGTGACAAAACGAGAGTAGGGTGCGATAAGTTGAATATTCAAGAAATTTTTCCAAAAGCGTATAACTGTAGATACTGTCGATAATGATCGATAATGACCGCTTACAATCGAAATGTTGTCGACAAGTGGTGCTCGCTCGGTGGATATAGTTTGCTTGCAGACTAAAACCACGTAGTTTATTTGTTTGTTCTTTTTTTTTTTATTCTGACTTAGGAGTCACATTACACCCATTTGACCGTTTTGTTTTTCTTTACTCGTCTTTCGGTTACGAAATATTCTTTAAGCATATACGCATGCGGTGGTGAGAGGATAATTGGCTGTCTTGTCGTTTCATTGAGTAATGTCTTAGGGAAAGGCGTTTGAAGCGGTAAATGACTGGCTAAACGTTGGAAAATGATCGACCTCGGGAAAATTGTGTGGTTTCATTACTTTTCTACACATCAATATGACTCTCAGGCTTAAGTTATTAAGAAGAAGTCAGAATTAAGTAATAGTTTTGTGAACAATACTGGTATGTCTTGAAGTGTTAGTAAACACAGTAACTTTGAAAAGTACCATAAACTGGGATGTAGCGCCGTGTGGTCTGGTAGAAGGCTATCTAGCAGAGAAAACATAAGTTATAGTAACTGCCAGGATAACCTCAAATCTAACGTAATATTGTTTTCGTGTGTTTTGTGCCTCTCCCACTTTTTTATTCTTGAGACCTTGCACTTTGTCTTCAACTGTCCTCTGTGTCTAGTTCTGCTCCCTGTCATACTTAATATCAGAATTTCGACATGGGCAAGGCCTGGGGGACAGCACAGCTTAACCAGGCACCTTCTCTGGAGTACCATACTTTTAGGGATAGCACAGTTTAAAAGCTTTTCTTTTGTAGCAGTTTATTTTGTTGCTAAATAAAGATTAAACCCAGTTGCTCATTTGTCCATGTTGTAACCATCTAAACATGTTACAGAATAATATATCTAATTTATGATATTAATGACGATTTTTGCCAAGTTATGGGAATTTTGTGTCATTATGGAGAAATTTTGGGAAATTGAGTAGTTTTTGACTGGAAAGTTGAATTGGATTTTTTTAGGCTGGAGAGGCATTTAGTCTTGAGTGGGTACTGGATATGTTGGTGTGTTTTCCATAATTTTGCTTTCTCTACACATTATTTGAAGCTGTGAATACCTGAGATAAATCGTTAATTATCCTTAGAGAAGTCAGCCTATTAAGGAACAATTTTTGCAGCAGTAACTTGCTTATTCCAAGACGAGCCAGTTTATAATGTCATAATCTAAATGAACCATAGGAGCTAGAGTATACTGCACTGTACTGCACTTAAAACTACCAGGCTGCTGGCCATCTTACACCAACCTCCTACTTTTCTGATTCCAACTCAACTCTAGACCTGCCCTCCCTATAATACCTCAGCACAGACTACGTAAAAAAAAAAACAAGGTCCTGTTTCTGTTCAATTGTTTCTTATTAGGAATCTGTTGCCTAGCAGCAGGCATTTTTATAGAGTCATTATTTAGCAACAAGTCTGCATGCTGCAATATTAATTTTATAAAAAAGTGCCTTTTATATACCAACTGATGTGACGATACAATATGCCATTAAATAACACTGTCTTCAAATTGTTTATAAACAAAATCATTTTTATTTTATCAGATTCAAGCTGTATTTTATAAAACTGCCAGTATGTGCTTCGTTAAATTTTATTTATTTTTATACGTCTCTTTACAAACTCAACAAGTTACAGTAAATATTACATTATAAAATAAGTTACCTTTGAGATCAATCTGCAATGAAAATATATCAGAATAAATTAATTATACCTATAATAATGTAAATGCATTGCAGTAGTATTAAAATGTTGAGAAAATGTCTTATAAATTAAAGCATAGGGCATAAAATAGATGGAGTATGTATAGAGAGACATAGTTACATGCCCAAGAATTTCAAAATGCTGATATATAGTTAAAAATCTATTTGAATTGAAAGTTGTACATACATATCTGAAATAACAACACAATGGAACAAAGAAAGGCCTTTTACATACTACTCACTAGCACAGAATATATGAACGTACAACAACAGAACCACAATGAAAGTAATCAATGGTGCTCAGTGCTGTGGTTCGGCAAAATGAGAACAGTATGAAATACGGACAATTCAGTTGATATAAAACCAAAACTGTATTACAACAGGGACTTAAAGTTTCTCATATCATTACAGAGTTTGTTTTTCTACAGTAATATACATACATGCACGACTGTTGTTTTCCACTGTTACAAATTTAACAGTGTTAAAGTCAGATATGGACACAAGCCATAAGAACACGCTTCTTTTCTAGCAGTTAGTAAAACAAAATCTATATCTGAAAATACCAGAAATTCATTGATGAACCTGGCATATTTATGTGAGTCCTTTTCCCTCATAGTTTTATATTTACATGTCCAATACTTAATTCATGTCTGTAAGAGTCAAAGTTTCCCTGACATATAAAGGAAATGCAAAAATCACAATGTCAGGGCTCTCGAAATAAATGAGGGTCAAGGGTTACAAGCAGCACAATTTTTAGCACATTTTATGATAAAATATGAATGTACCTTACTGACAGCAGTTAAAAGTTAATTGCATGCCCACAAAAATTAAATTAAATTGTACTTCTGTATTCCTGAAATTTGCATAAAGAAAGCTGTGAACTACTTCTACTCTCATTTCTTCATCTAATATGATGACCAGTTATGGCCAGTACAAGTACCAGATTTATATATAAGCTAAATAAGCTAGTGCTTAGGGCCTTGCAATCTGAAGGACCTTCAAATATCAAGAATAAAAATCACCCATGAGATAACACAGCAGTCTCTTGCAGAATCAGGAAGATTGTATAATGTGACTGTATCGTGTCAGATTAGAACGATGGAAATAACGCACAGGAATGGCTATGACAATCAAAAACAGACTAGGAGATGACATTGCTCTTTGCAATGCAACTGTGAGATAGTTGCCATGCAATATATTAGTGCAGTTCCACATACATGAACTTTCATCCTTAACTTTTGTTTCTGGGTGTGTGTGTGTCTGTATATATATATATGGGCCTCACGGTGGCGTAGTTGGTTGAGACACTATGCTACAACCTGGAAGGTTGTGGATTTGAGTCCCGATGAGGTGGATTTTTTCAATTTACCTAATCCTTCCAGCTGCACTATGGCCCTGGGGTCGACTCAGACTCTAACATAAATGAGTACCAGGAATATTCCTGGTGGGTAAAGGGTGGTAGACGCATAAGGCTGACAACCTTACTGCCATCTGTGAGCCAATTGTCTAGAGAAAATGTGGGAGCCTTGACATCTCACAACCCTATGGGCCTTCATGACCTGTTACAGGGATAGAGTTAAAGTAAAAAAAAAAGGTATTCCTGCAACAGGCCATGGAGGCCCATAGGGTTGTGAGATATTGAGGTTCCCACATTTTCTTGAGAATCGGCTCACAGATGGCAGCAAGGTTGTCAGCCCTACATGCCAGCTGCCCTTTACCCCCAAGAATATTCCAAGAATATTCCTGGTACTCATTTCTCTTAGAGACTGAGTCGACCCCAGGGCCATAGTGCAGCTGGAAAGATTAGGTCAATTATAAAAATCCAATGACCTCATCAGGACTTGAACCCGTGACCTTCTGGCTTGTAGCATAGTGCACGCTAATCTTGACCTGGCCAATACTATGACCTATTAGTTACAACAAGACATGAAATTATATTATTATCACTTGATGCAATTCAAAATAAGAAAATACCATGCATATTTTTGCTTATAAGGAACCCGCAAGAATTATGCATTTGCAGAGTATTAAATTTAAAACAACGAACAACATAACAGTATGCTCAGTAGAAGACATATACCACACAAATGTATTTCTCATATTGCTGAACAGTGACAGCTGAAAAATGATGATAAAGCCAATGACAACAGCAAATTGAAATAAAATTGATCTACTGACATGTTTATAATATTGTTCTATAGAAAGCCACGATCCCAAACATGAAACTCAGTCTTTCATGTGTTTTTCAATGAAATTCCTACTGTGATTGAAATATAAAATATCAGTTCATTGTAATGGATTGTCAAAACATTGCACATACAACATTTCCACCATAACAGAAATGGGGGGGATATATCCTCAGAGTTATATACAAGTTAGCTATCAAATTATGGATCAGAGATATGAAAACTATAACCCTTGACAAAAGAACTTACATTTGAAGCTCACAGATTAGAAGTTAGCATGTCAGAATATGTACATTGCTAACCAAACTGGTTTACATATTTTGCAATAACAAATGTAAAAGGAACCCCAAAAATACTTTTTTATATATAAATTCTGAACCTCAGAAACAGTTGGGAAATATGCTGGGGCAACACACAAGCTGACACACAAAATATCCCTGTGCCAATGTCCCAGATAAGAACTGGATTTTCTTTGTGACTGTAAATGTGAATAATTCTTCACGTGTCTTTAGTCTTGGCACATAAGGGTAATTTTAAATTTTTCATCATAATAGAATATCAGTAATATCATATTCAGTGGTGTGCATATCCTAAAACGTGGTTCATTGTGAGTAATGATTTCCTTTTTGGTGCCTGCATTGGTGAGAAAAGGAAGGGATGTTTTTTCATGTTTGACAAAACATTGAACTGGAGAATACCATCCTCTGATACGTGACTCCATGTAGTTCAGCAGCATCTCAGATGAATGGACTGCCTCCATCTTTAGGGTTGAAATATAAGACAAAGAAGCTGCTTGCTTGCCTGCTTAGTCTTCGCCCCCTGAAGATAGAGGCAGTCTATTCATCTGAAATATAGGTGAACTTCTTTCTACCAGACATGACAACACAACTCAGAAGGCAGTACTCTTCATAATCACCACTGCGGGAATCTCAGATCCAACAAAAAATAAAATTTGAATTGAAATGTAGAGCTTGCACTTGTTTCAACTTCCATTATAT